AATACAGAATATTGTTAAGGTTGTGGAGAAACTGGGCCAGTTACAGATTGCTGAGAGGAGTATACAAGGATGCAACAACATTGGAAAACACTTTGGCAGTTAAAAAAAAATTAAACATAAATTTATGTTTAATATATGTTAATATATGTTGTGTTTAATAGGATGTTATTATGTTAAATATGATCTAGCAAACTCAGTCTTAGAAATCTACCCCACTGAAGTGAAAACACATGTCCATACAAAGTCAGGCATGTGAACATTCATAGCAGCATTGTGCTTAATAATCCAAAACTGAAAACAATCCAAATATCTAAGTGTCCACTACGGAATGGATAAACAAAATGAGCTACATTTGTATAAGGAAATATTATTCAGCAATTAAAAAGGAATGTGCCACTGGTGCTGTTAAAATATGGATAAACCTCAAAAATATTATACAAAATTTAAGAAGCCAGAACCAATTACATATTTATGATTCCATTTATATGAAATATCCAGAAAACATGAATTTATGGAGTTGGAAAGTGCAGTGGTTGCCTAAGGCTGGAGCTGGGAGTGAGAATTAACTGTAAATGGGCACAAGGGAAACCCTTGGAGTGATGGAAATATTGTAAAATTTGGTTGTGGTAATGGTTACACAACTCCATAAATTTACTTAAAATTATTGAATAGTACTTTTAAAATTAGTGAATAATATGTTTTTATTGTATATATATCCCAGTGTTTATAGTTATTTCCAATAAACATTGAATGTGTGTTTATTTCCATTGTCTCTTTCTTTGTTTTATGTCATGCTAGAAATCTAGTGTATCATCTTTTTTGTTAATCTTCTCTATTGTTTTTGTTATCTGCGTCATTCATTCCTGTTTTTTACATTTGATCTGTTACTTATTTTACAATGGATTGAGCAATACCAAATTTTAATATTTTAAATTTCACAGCCAGGGTATTTGAATATATTAATGGTCACCCTCTCAAGATTTGTACTTGAAGTGTTTCCATTGTCATTCTTTGCTGAGCATTCCTTAATTTTCCTTCCTTTCGAAATTAGCTAGTAATACAGAATTTGGTTTTCAAATAAGTGGTACTTTTTTCTATTTTAAATTAACTTTTAATTTTATTGCATTTTAGTCAGAGAGCATAGACCACAGAATATTGATCCTTTGGAGTTTCCTAAGGCTTTCTCGCGGCTAATAAATATTCTACTTTTATAATTATTTCATATGATCTGGAAAAAATACTTATTTTCTGTGTTTTGGGATGTAGTTTTCTATAAAAAGGTAATGGCTTAAGCATCTTAATTTTTTCCCCTTGATATATTAGTTTCTGAGAAGCGTGCGCCGAATCTCTAACTCCAGCTGTTGATTTATCTGTCACATTTGGTTGGTTGTTGACATATTTAGAGCCTGTATTAGTAAGTGAATTTATGCTCATGGTTATTATACCTTCTTTTACTTTATATAATGTCCCTCTTTTTTACTTAGGGTGCGTTTTGGACTCACTTCTATATTTTGAGTATTAATATTGCTGCTTCTGCTCATTCATTTTAGTTTGTATATCTTTTTTTATCCTATGTTAATACTTGAGTGCCTTTTTATTTTAATTTTTCTCTTGTGATCAATACCTCTTTGATTATTTTTAAAATCCAATCACAAATTGTCTTTCAAGTTGTGGGGTCAGTTAATTTACATTTTGTTATTTGTTATGGTAGGAGTTGATTTTCCCAATTTTCCATATTTTTAGTCACTAGACTTTAAAAAATATATAAATTTTTACTGATTTCAGAGAGAGGAAGGGAGAGGGGAGAGAGAGAGAGAAACATCGATGATGAGAGTCATTGATCGGCTGCCCCCTGCACGCCCCCTACTGGGGATCGAGCCTGCAACCCGGGCATGTGCCCTGACCGGGAATTGAACCCCTATCTCCTGGATCCTAGGCCGATGCTCAACCGCTGAGCCACGCCGACCGGGCTAGACCTTTCTTTAATAAATTATTCTTAAAGTAGTTTCTTCCTTCCAGCTTTTCTTTGATGATAATTTAAATGTAACATATCTTTTTGTTGTTCTTATCATAACTACCTTTAATCAAATATCTGGATTTATAATTTATCACGATTGCTAAAGTCCTTGTTTACTGTTAATATCTCTGCCTTCTCCCCTAATGTGCTAGTCTGCTGTCAGTCCGTTTTGTTAAAATCCCCCACACCTCCGCTGTTTCTTTATGGACCAGATTTTAGCTGTAAGTTGCTATGGCTGTTTCTCTTCTCTTGACCTTTTGCTTTTCATTAATTCTAGAGAGGGTCCCTGTTTCTTCCAATAGTCTTCTTTTATATGTTTACCTCCTTTTTGGGATTTCTAATTTTATTCTTTATGTTTTTTTTAGATTTTTTTTTTTCTATTTTAAATTAGTTTTTCTTTATGTCTTCTACGAGAGTTTCCTACCCTGGTCTTCTGGTTCACAAATTTATTATGCATTTGTACTTATCCTATTTTTATTCTTTATATTGGTGTACTTATTACCATTTAAATATTTTTCATATCTAAAGCTTCCACTGTTCCTTCCTTTACAACTTTTTACTTGGTTTATGTTGCAGTATCTTCCCTTATCTCTTTAAAGCACAGTTACACTCTTGATAAATTATTTTTCTGTGCATTCCAATAATTCTGCTTCAGCTGATGCTGAATATTGTTCATATTACCATATCTTTTATGTTGTTTTACTTCTCAGATATAGATATTTTTACTGTAATATTCCATAATGGCTTTAGTTTTTTTACTTTTTTCCTACTAAAGTAAGTTATATAAGAGTCAAGGTCAAGCTGCAGTCCTTCCTCTCCTGGGCAGTGTCAGTGAGGATAGGGAAGGGTAAGGCCCACGGCCGAGGCTCTGGAGCCGAGGCTGACCCTGCGGCTCGCTGGCGCCCCACCAGGACAGGAACCTGTCCTGACCTCTCCCGGGAGCTGTCAGCCTGGAAGAGGTGTTCTCTGTAGGTTGTGCTCCACCGGCCCTTGGGGCCTGGAGGGGGCGGCGAGCAGTAGACGCTCGCACCTGCTCTGTCACCTCGCAGCTGGGCTTCCGCCCTGCCCTGTCATCACGCTCACACCTGTGACCTAGTATGCTGCTGTTGACTTTTCTGATGAAGGGGGATAGCAGCGACTGTGAAGTTAAAAATGTTCACTCATATTGCTGAGGCTTCTATGGTTTCAACAGAAATGATTTTTGAGAAAACCAGCAGCTCCCCTGCTTTCTCATACTCCACCCACACTTCTGCCTGCCCACTGAGCAGAGCAGTCTGTTCCTACCACAGGCCCTTTGCACGGTAGTCCTCTGTGCCTAGAACGTTCTCCCCTCAGATCTTTAGCAGCTGGCTCCTTGTCACTCCCCAAGCATCACCTCAGATATTAGCACTGTGGAGAGATCTTTCTGACACTGTCTTTAAAACACCACTCTTCTAGGTACTTTATATTGTTCAGTTTATTTTTCATAGCTCTTACTATAATTTAAAATCATTCGTATGTATTGCCTATCTCTTCCCACTAGAACGTAAGTTTCTCAGAGCATGTATTTAATTTCTTTTCATTATTTTTGTTTTTTTGGATTTTTTTCCCTTTTTTTTTTTTGCTGTGGGGTGACAGTCTATGGAATGCCTGGAGCCCAGTGAGTGTGTGATGTCTTTTAAGGAAAAAGTGAAAAGCTGAATGGATGGACAGAACAATATGGCCATTACTTCTGTTTACACTCTAGTTTTTCCCTCTTTCGAAACATATGGCATAAATAGTGGGCTATGCTCTATAGCTTTTCTTTTCTATTTATTTTTTTCCCTTTTTGTTGGCTTCTAGGAATGCTTCTCAATGGAATCTTCTGCTTTACAAATTTGTTATATATTTGTATTCACCCTGCTTTCATTCTTTATGTTGTATGACATAGTAGGTCTATATTTTAAATGTTTTATACTATAATTAAAATATTTTTATTATGACAATAGTGACATCAAAACTTTTATTTTGCAATGTGACATCATAAAGAAAAATATCCAGTTTTATTATTTGATTTTAGCTAGAAAGTAAATTCAAGTTAACTCCAAGTTAGCTTATGTCGCAATAGTGAGTTGCCAAACGATGTTTGGTAAGTGTTCATTTGGTCTTCCACATGAATCTGTAATGTGGGTAGGGTGTGAATTTCCATTTTTCAGATGAGGAAAGTGAAGTTCAAAGAGGTGAAGTGAGTGGGTGGCCGACCTGTGAGTTAAACACCAGTCTTCAGTTATTACCTAGCGCAGCTGTTTTTCTCACCATCCACGTTTGTCCCTAAGCGTGTGTCACTAGAGTTGTGACTTGGGGATTTGTCCCATTAGCCCTAAAAGGTGTTTAGTTTTATTGGCTTGTCAGTAGAGAAAACAGCCATGGCGAGAACAACAGCAACGATAAATAGCTATGATGTCCTTACAGCAGTTTTAAATGCTGTGCATGCATTAATATATTTAAATCTCTTCATAATCCTGAGAGGTTGATAGTATTATGTGCGTTTTGCAAATGAAGATCCTAAAGCACAGAGGGGTTAAGCAATGTTTCCAAGTCACACAGCTAATCAGTGGCAGAGGTTGAACTAGGAACCTAAGAATCTGGTTCTTGATCACTACCCTAATCTGTAATAATAGAAACTTCATTGCAGCTTATAGTTTACAGAGACCTTTCTTATCTATTGTCTGCAGTAGCACTCTGTAGAGAAGGCAAATGGTACAGTGCTAAGTTTCAGAGAGGTGATTTGGCCTCTCACAGGCAGCAGGGGGCTGAAATTCTTCCTTCTGAAATCTAATTATACCTGTGTTCTTGAGCGATGTTTTATTATCCCTGATTCTATTAGCTCATTGTGGTCCTCTTAATATTTATTTCCTCTCCAACGAGTTATATCGTTGTGGGTTTAAAACACTAACCTAGTTGAGTACCTAAGGAACATTTTCTCTCTTGCCGTTTTGATGTTCTTTGGCCGTGTCTCTTGCAGCTGAACTGTGCTGATTTCAGGAAGGCAGAAGGAGGTGGGGATTTTATCTGTACCCCCGATGACGCAGCTGTCTGTGGCACCGACGGGAAGAGGTATAGCAGCAGGTGTGCCCTGTGTGCTGCGAACCTGTGAGTATTCTGTGGGGCAGGCTTTCCCCCTACAGCACGCTCTCTGTGTAATTACATGACACATTTTTTCTTACAGCCTTTAATGATTCATTTTGTGGGAGTTAGTCATCCATAAATTATTAGGATCATTTCTTTTACTACGCTTAAAGAAAATATATTTAGAACACTTCATATTTTACAAAGCACTTTTGTGTGCTATTTATCAGACGGTTACCACTGTCTCTATGAAGCAGAAAGACGTATAATATATATTTGCATATATACACATACATACACAGCATATATATACAAACATATAATATACAACACACATTTATCTGTTTTCTATGTATTTCTGATTATATTCTTTTTTCAGAGAATTATTTAATCATCAACTTAAATTTATTAAGTGCTCAGCAATTTATAGTATTAGAGTAGATAATTGGGACTTTTAATATTGAATTTCTTCCCATTTATTCAACCTTTGCCACATCCCTAAAGCATCTCACGGTCCTATATTTTGTCCCATTTGGTTCCTTCTCTACCCTCAGTACTAGGTCTGGTTATTGATTGTATTCACCTGACAAGACAGCGTACTTGCTTTGCAGGTTCTGGCTTCTGACCTCAATCTTGAATTGTCTGCTCTTCAGTTTTTGCAATATAACAATGTTTGGAAAGGCTAGTAAGGGACATGAGAAATATTCAGTCTTTAAGGTCCTGCAAGCTTTATCCCTCCTTGTAATGGTATCTGAACCAAAGCACAACTGAATTAAATCACTCCAATCCCTCACGTGACTGCGTTTGCAGAAATACACTCTAAAATTACACCCTCACCTCTTACCAAGGGTCAACGTAAACAAACGGGAAACAAAAGCAGACGTGGGAAGAACATACAGGGTTTTTAGATATGTATTTTGTAGCACTACTGTGAGCACGCTGCACAGTTAGTTCCTGCTCCATCTTGTGCGGGGGATCCTGTGACAGATCCTTTAAATCTCTGGTTCAGGTGGAAGCTTCTCTCCCCTAATTTCCCCTGGACTTTTTGTGCTGTACAGTGAATGTCTTACTACTCATTGCGTTTCTTCTTAGCTCTGTCTACTAGAAGACTCTGGAATCACACTGGAATTTAATGTTTTTGTTCTCTTCAGCTGATATTTTTTGATAGGACACTTTTCTTATTACTTTAACTACTTGTTTTTTACTCTGCTTGTCTGTATTTTTATTGTTATACAAGTGCTTTAGCTGGAAACTGCCTTCTCTTTATAGAAAGCAGGAAATGTAGCCTTCATTTGTGGCTCCATGTTTTCAGATACGCTTTAAAGCTCTATTAGACTGAATGAGATTAATTATTAGGACTTTATGAAGTTTCCATGAAAAACAACATATTAGGTAGCATAACCCAAATGAAGAATCCTATCATAGGATGCCAGATACTATAAACTTGAATTTGTTTATTGAAACCAACAACAACATCAACAGCAGCAAAGTCCCTTGGGGGGGCATCTAATATCTAGTCACAAGCTTTACTTTTCTCCGCATTTCTGTTAGGGTCCCCTCTGGACGTAGGAACGAGGTTCTGGAAATAACATTTACAGGTGTGAATCTTATTGGCTCATCAATGTGATTTCATTCCTTTGACTCCAAGTTATAAACATAGGCTCTCCATAGAGTAAGTGAAGAACAATGTAATGTGACGCCTGTTTTCAAGAGCCAAGAGTCACAAAACAATGAAGATAAGTCAACCCTCAGATGAGAAGTTCTGTGATACTAAACTGCTGTGTCTACTCCCTTTCAATTCCAGTAAAACCAAGTCCCAAGTCGGCATAAAGAATGAAGGGGAATGTGAAAGCAGTGATCCAGAGCAGGTGAGGACAAATGTCACCATGGTGGGAAATGCTGGGCACTGACTTTGGAGAGAAAGGAGACGCTCTCCTCTTTCTTTTGGCGGGGTGGTTGGAAAGAAGTAATTCTTGCTGTACTTGAACTGGGATGCTGCTGGTTTGATGAAAAGCAATTGAGAGATTCTGAAACTAGACCAGGTTACTTCGGTAGTTAAACCTTTCAACTCTATTTCAGCTTCTTATGAAAAAGGAAGGAGGGGAAGAGGGAGGGAAGGAAGGAAGGAAGGAAGGAAGGAAGGAAGGAAGGAAGGAAGGAAGGAAAATTAGTTAAATGGAAACTGCCTGTGTAGAAGAAAGGTCACTACCCTTCAGTCACTTAACCTAAATTGAAACCCCAGCATTGTCACTTGCTGTCAGGAGACCTTGGGCAAATTCCTTAACCATACTGTTCCAGTGTTTCCATACCTGAAAATGAGATTTGAATTAAATAGCTTCTTTTACACTAAAATTCTGTGAAGTTACAGGAAAGAAGTGAATGTCTCACTATGTTACCCTTCACCTTTTCTCGCTGAATGATTTTTCTAAATCCAGGTTTGGTGGCCTTTTTGTATGCACCTGAGATTACCTCCACCAAGGCATTTAGGACACATTTTAAGTCTTCGTCTGTGTCACCCAGTAGATTGTGAGCAAGTTGAGGGCAAGGGCTGTATTCTACCTTAGTTCTAGCACACAGTAGGTTATCCATGTTTACTAACAAATGAATAAATAAGTAAATGAGTTCCACACTCTACCAGGTGAGTTATACAACACTGAGCAGCTTCTACACATCTGAGACTGCTCTAGGTGGCTAGTAGGCAGTGGACAGAGGGATACTGAGTTCTATAGAATTTCTGCAAACAGTATTGTAAGAATTACAATCAAGGTGACGATTGACAAGTTTCTTTCCCTGTTCTAGGATGTTTGTAGTGCTTTTCGGCCTTATGTGAGGAATGGAAGACTTGGATGCACGAGGGAAAATGATCCAGTTCTTGGTCCTGATGGAAGGACACATGGCAATATGTGTGCCATGTGTGCTGAGCTGTTGTGAGTACCTTCGTCCCCAAGCAGGCCAAGCAGGAGGGTTGATGAGAATGCACTTGGCTGCTGTCCTTAGCACCACTCCACAGAGAGCTAAGTCCTTACGATGAAACCTCAACCCTTTGTCTTCATGGGTGAAACAGGCCTTGCTCCCAGAGTAGCTTTGCTGTTTTTAATTCATATCATCTGCTAATGTTTCTTAAAAGGAATAGATAAGGTGGTTATGTTAGTCATTTAGTTCAAGACTTTGTTTCATGATAATGAGTTGAAAATGCACAATGTTTTATGAGGCATAATGTTTTAAAATTTAAAAAGCACTTTCATGTGGAATAACTGAGATCAGGCACTTGATGTGCATGGCTTCTTTGGGGCATGTACAGGGACTCTTACCAAAATGAAAGTCCAACTTAAAATAATAATAATCACAATAACAATAATAGTGTCATGTAGCTGAATTTATTATTAGTATAAAAGGTGGAATTTGTGAAAGAGAAGAGCTGCTAGGTTAACCTTTCTTTGGGTGCCTGACCTGGCTCCAAGCACTGAGACCCAGGTGTGAGTATGACCCAGTGAGTCTTTAAAATTCTGGGTGTTCAACAAGGTACACACTCTCTAATCCATATGCCAGCAAGCCTGAAAGTGCTCTGTATAGCCCTTGGATCTTTAAAATCTGGAGAGAGGAAGATTTACAGATTAATAAACCTCACACTGCCTTTGAAAATGACAGTGCACTGTTGTAGAATTCAAGGGCATGTCCTGTCAGGTTTACAAAACAGTGATTGTAACTGGTTTCTAGACTGGAAATCAGCACCATTTTCACTTTCGTTGAACTAAGAGACATGTGCATTTAGTGTTCAAACCCGCAATAATTCTGTGACTTTCTGTTTTTTTCATGCACTACCTAAAAGGGAGAATTTGACCTCTTTAACTCCTGGTTTCTTTCTCTGTAGAACGAAGATAATAATGTAGGATGAGCCTGCAGTTAGATAATAGATCTAAAAGGACTTAGAGACTCAGCCACACGTAGCTTTTATTAATAATGATGCTTTTACATGAAGGCCAACAAATACTTTACAAGGTATGAAAAGCTATGCACAGGGTGTGGATGACAATATTTCCAATACTCAGTTTGGTTCCACCTTGTCGCACCATTGTTTTCGAGCTCTTGGTTCTGCCGGTTAAAGGAATTTTCCTGACAATCTGTCAATCAAGGAGTCGCACCCATCCGGCTGTAGGAACAAAGCTCCCAATTGACTGTCAGTGAGTCAGCTTCACACCCTGCCTTATCTGTAGCAATTTTCTGGCTCAGACATTCAAGACAGAGAGAAGCTTGTCTAACATAAGTGGATCAGTTTAACAACTTAGGGCCAAGGATAGGAAAGTGCTTAGCACAGAACTGGACACTGAAAATACGATCGGACTGGAAACTGACCAGTTTTTTCATCCTTAACAGCTTAAAAGAAGCTGAAGAAAATCGCAAGCGACAAGACGAAACCAGAATTCGACGAAGTGCTGAAAAGGTAAATAAATACTCACCAACACAATTTGGTCCTTGTGGCTGTAAATTCTAACAAACGGATGCTTGAGCGATTGAGGACACTTCATAATGTCACTGTCCTTCATTATCACATTGAATTCTTTCCCTTAATTCCACAATTCCCCAAGTTGATGATTCCTAATATATTCATCATTACATTCATTTTTAAAACAGCATTTCCCACCTAAAGCTAAAAATATCCAATTTTCCTCTTTGCTTAAAACAAAAGAATGGAAGTCAGAAAGTTTAGGCAAATTAAACTCTGCTTAATTCCCACCAGACTTCTCTCTTGCTTTAGTGTGAATTAATCTTGCTTTGAGTAAATTATAAAAATATAACATTATATAAATTAGACAGGAATAACTTAAAATATATTTTTTATTATTTAAGACCTTTATTAACAGGTGCTTACAGTTTGTTGACTTTTCTGAAAAAAAATCAAGTTGTAAACTTTTATTACAAATTAAAATTGAGGTTCTAAGTAAAAATAATAAAATAAAAATAATTCTACAGTCCTTTGCACAATATATCCACTGATGTATTTTATGTATAATCCCATTTATAAAGGTCTTGCTTCTGTTAAATAAGAATCTCAAACCAATACTGAGATTGTGGTTCTAAAAATACACTTAAAATTAATTTTATAAAAATTATCAGATGATTCAACTTTTCCACTCAGCATAAAATATTACTCATTTTGTTAATAGAATAGGCATTGTAGGTAATGCAGCCTGGATTTCTCAAATCACGAAGGTTAGTAAGCCTTCTTTTAATAAAATTGATGGCAGCTGCTTTGCTAAAGGACTAGCCTTTTGTTGAGCAGTCAGAATTCCTGAGTTTTAGCCTGAGCTCTGTCATGCTCTGGGTGTGTGAAACTGAGCAAGTAATCTCTTCTCTCTGGCCCTCGACTTTCTTGTCAGCAAAATGAGGATGTTGGATAGATGATTTCAATTCTGCTTTCCTGTTGGTTTGGGATTCTGCATCTTACGCCTTTGTGTGCTACTACAAGTACACAATTCTTGAGGGTTGTAGGACATATGTTTTCCTAAGGGAGACACAGGTCCAGTTCATGGTAGTCAAGGCCTGACCTTACACTTCAGATTGCTGTTCAATGAGGCAAATTTCCCACCCCACATAGGGTACTCAGTGTTTCAGTTAAGGGGGCAGGGAGAGATTAACCAAAGAATTTATATGCATGTATGCATAACCCATGGACACAGACAATAGTGTGGTGAAGGCCTGGGGAAGGGAGTGGGTGCAGGGTGGAGGGGATCAATGAGGGTAAAAGGAGACATCTGTAATATGTTGAACAATGAAGATAAATTTATAATAATAATAAAATAAGTAAATACAAATAAATAAATAAAAATTTTTGAACTAAAAAAAAAAAAAAAAGAAACACGAAGCATTCAGAGTTGTCAACAGTTTGTTCAACACTCACTGAAATCTGAAAAACAGTTCTTTAGTGGTGGTTGTTAAACTTCAATCTAAAACCTTGGGCCATCTTATAATAGTCAGCATTTTATTATTCTGTAAACACAAAGAGTTCTTTTCCTGTGTCTTTCATCACATCTCAGCTACTTTTCCCTTGTCCTCTCTGTGGCCGGGTCATTGTTTTGGTGGGGTCATTGGACGTGATGATGTTGAATAGGACTCCTTTATAGTGATGGCTTAATGTCTGTCCCTAATTAAACTGTCAGTGGTTGCTCACAAAAGTGTTTCTTCAGAATCTCCTCGGGTGAATCACAACTTATAAACTGAAATTATCATTGTGTCTCTTCTGGGAATCACTGAGCGTTGATTTTATTGCCATGTTGTGATTGTCAGGTGACTTCTTCTGTGTCTGTATTACTGGATTGTTGCAACCAGGAAGTTTGGAGCACACCCATTGCTCCTCCAAAAACAAATGTCTTCTTATTAGGAGGTAATTAGGATTCTCTTTTAAAGTATCCTAAATATCATGTGTTATTTTAAAAAGAGAATTCAAGATCTAGAAAAGGTCCTAAAGAGCATCTGTTCCAAAAACCTCATTGTGTAGGTGGTGGAATTTGGGTCTCAAAGGTGGCAGGACTGACTTTGCTATGGTTTCCCAGTGAGTTTGAAGCACAATCTAGCTGCGCAGGTCTATGACTCAAATCACATTCTTTATGTTCATGTTTTCTTGGCTGAAGTGAGATGATAAACTTCACCCAGTTGAAGAGAGGCTAAAGGGAAGCATTTTTGTAGGTTGCATTATAGTAATATATGCCACCACGAAATGTGTTTATTGACATAGAGATTCCCAAGTCTAAAATAATTTAGGATACGTATGTGTATATGTGTGTGTGCATATAAATTTCATCAAATAGTAGTATTTTCAAAACACAAAGAAAAACCTGAAAGTACTGAGCCAAAGCATCAAGAAATCTGGGTACAAACCTCTCAGGTTTTGTGGGGAAGTCACAACCTTTTTAAGGTTTCCTAAATAAATATTCATCTTGATGTTCTTACCTCTCTAAGGTGGGGAGTGAATGAAAATTAGATTCACTGTCTCTGAGGTGTCCACCTATCATATTAGAAATAAGCATCACCCAGCCGGGCGTGGCTCAGCGGTTGAGCATTGACCTAGGATTCAGGCGATCAGGTTTCGATTCCCGTTTGGGGCACATGCCCGGGTTGCAGGCTCGATCCCCAGCAGGGGGGGCACAGGAGGCAGCCGATCAATGACTCTCATCATTGATGTTTCTCTCTTTCTCTCCCTCTCCTTTCCTCTCTCTGAAATCAATAAAGATATATTTAAAAAAAAGAAAAAGAAAAAAAATAAGCATCTATGNTTCCTCTCTCTGAAATCAATAAAGATATATTTAAAAAAAAGAAAAAAGAAAAAAAATAAGCATCTATGAAGGAGACTGAGTACATGAAAATGATGCTCAGGTCCAGGAGAAAACAACTGAACTAAACATAATGCTGTTGGATACCATCTTATTTTCATTCCTTGCCAACTAGTTTGGATCGTTCTTGACTTGATCCATACTAAATGGCATGTGAGTATCTCCTCTGACAGATTCTATATTCTGCTCACTAGCAATTTTTTTTTTTTTTTCCCTTGGCTGCTGCATTTTGTTGAAACTCTATGAAAGACCTTTTGTTTTTTATTATATTTTTTATAGATTTGAAAGTTAATCTAGATAATAAAGTTATTTGAAAGATAGACTTGAAAGAACTATCTAGTTTTAGAAAATACTTTCTCGACCTTATGCTTTCTAAGGCTCTTTTACCTTTTATTAAATATGTCACATAGCAAATATAGGTACTGCGTAATTTCACAATGTAATTACTATTTCTTATTGATCCTCATTAATATGTTATATGTGTTTACCAACACCTTCGAGACCTGACGTTCTTTGACTATGAACCCCTGGTATACATTTTCTGTATTAAAATCTAGAAATGTGTTCAATGTGATCGCTTGTCTTTTTAAAGGATTATTGCAAGGAATATGAAAACCAAGTGAGGAATGGAAGACTTTACTGTACACGGGAGAGTGACCCGGTCCGTGGCCCTGATGGCAGGATGCATGGCAACAAGTGTGCCCTGTGTGCTGATGTTTTGTGAGTACAGATGTGGCTTCTTTGGGGTGATTCAGAGGTGAAGTGGAGACTGATTAGAGCGATGAGTAAGAACAGTGTTGAGGTGAAGATTTGTTGTTCAGAATTTTTGAGCAGTTTATGCTCTCTACAAATCATAATACCCCCTAGTAAGTAGACCCTAAAGATGGATGTCTATTTCTGAGTACAAATGGATTCCATTTTCCAGTTGGAAGGCTGGATGACAAAATACTTAGTAACACTTCCTTTCGTGAACCTTGGAAGCCTTTCTCTAAGATAATCATCACACAAAATGAGGGTAAAAGCGGGTACCAAGACTTTGTTTCCTTCAGTAATTATCCCATTGTGACAGGCACACTTTCTTTCAGATCCTTGAACTCTCTAGGTTCTTTCTCAATGCTGCGTCTTCTAGGCCAGTTTGCCTCCGTCTTGGCCAGCTAATGTCTTCTCTTCCGTGGATTGCATTTCAACATAATCTTTCTTTGCTTAAGTCCTCTAATATCCCTAACTGAAATTCAATCCTTGTAACTCAATGATTTTATTTCATAACAATCATTGCAATTGGTAACTAGATATTTATTTCTATGACAGCTTGTTGACTATCAGTCTTCTCTACTGGGCTATAAGTTCCAAAAAGATAGGGCATGCGTTTGTTTTGTGTACTACTATGATATACCCAAAGGGCCCAGGCTAATGGTTGCCAAAAAAATAGTTACTAACTGAACGTATGAATGAAGATCTCTGCTATCAGGAAGTTTAAGGGTAACTAGCAGAAATAAGCCATGGCTATGCACATACACACACGTATGTAGTGCAAAACCAAATGAAAAGGTCCCATAAAAGGAGCATGCTCAGGTATGAAAATACAGTGGTGGATGCAGAACTCATTTGCACTTTGAGATCTGAGATGTCTTCTTAAAGAGGGCAGAATTTAAGCTGGGGAGATTTAAAAGAAAGGAAGTTGACAAAAATAAAAGATCATTACAATGGAAGGAAATGGCATACATGGAGGCAAAATGGAAGAAAGGGGTCCTTCGGGGAAACAGCGGAGATTTCAGTGCGATAAGGGACTGTAGGGTTGCTGGAAAGTGTTTGTGTGAGAACTCAGGGATACCTAGCTGTTTTTCCACTTGCACCTAAACCACAGTTTTGCAACATGAAGATTTGAAGCATCGTAGTCACTTATTTAATTTTGTTCCTTTCTCCAGAAAACGGCGTTTTGCAGAAGAAAAAAATAAAGCGGATGAAAACCTGAGAAAGGCTGAAGAAAAAGTTAAAGTTAAAAGAGAAATCGAGGTGAGGATTAGTTTGATCAACCCAGTTGTGACTTTTGTGTATGTGTGTGAGCGCACTTTACTTAATGTTGGTTCATTTTTCCTCCACTACTGATGGGTGTCTGGAAGCTAATTTATAGCCGTTATTTTATAAGATTTGTAATAATAAAATAATCCCTATGGCATTACAATTTTAAGCTCTATTTGGAGGAAATGAATCACGTCATATTAGTAAAGTATATTCAAAGCATCCTCTGAGTTTCAAAGATTGATATGCAGCTACTTCAAATGTATGGTTGTTGTTTTGGAAGTTTTTATTTTGAAAGCAGTATCAATGGAGAATTTTAATGTGCTCTCTTTAAAATCGTTCTACATCACACTTTCTAACCATCTCAACAAGTGACCCGCCTTCTTTCTATGCTCAGATACCTAGTAGCTTTCCTTTGAGTTGATGCATTAGCATCCCACCTGATGTCTATGCTTCTAGCTAACATCTTCCTCAGTCCATGAGATTTAACTTATCTTGCATTTTTTCGCAGAGTAGGAAATATTTCCATGAGTCAATGGCATTATGAGAATCCAGCATTTGAAGGTATCCTGGAGTATATATGGACCATTTCACTCCATGAAAAACCCCTATTTAACTTATTTCTTACAGACAGAGTTACCCACCTGCTGGGAGGTGTGGCTCACAGTTTTATAAAATAGCCATTCCATTCGTTTACCTTCTGCCTCCCTGTAGCTCTCTCTTACTGCCGAGGTCTCATTTTCAGCTGTGTTCTCCCCCTCAATCCTTGGTTACAGAGTCCTTTTCATTTTATTTCTCAAATGTTCCTCAACTATTCTTTTGTCTTTTGTATCTAATTCCTTCCTTCCTTCCCCCTCCTGCCTTCCCTCCTTCCCCTTGTCTTCCTCTGTAGCTTCCCTGACTTCAGTCTCTAGTCACTCACATCCTCCATATACCTGGTTGCATAGTCTTTCTAAAACAAAGGTTTGGTTTTATTCTTCTCTGCTATAAATATTTATCATTTTCCCATTTCCTAAGAATGAAGTCCAAATTCCCATCAAACTTGAGTGGCCTGGTTTTGACTTACCTTCAAGGTGTCCTTTTTGGCCAGTTCCCACACCTTTCTCTCTTTTCCCACTAATAATACATTAGCCATTGGACTTGTGGCTGTAATAGATTTTCTTGAATTAACAGGTTCTTTGATGCCTCTATGACTTTGCTTATCATAATTCCTCTTGGAGGACTTTTTTTTGCCACAGTGTTTTCCTGGAAATTATCCTAAAGATACAAATCAGAGATAAGCTCTTCCTGAACTTCCACAAATTATTCTTTCCTTTGTGCTTGTATGCACTTGATTCAGACTTGTGCCATCTCTTAGCTTTTTATGTTGAATTCAGAATCCTTTGCACTTGAGTGATAGAATAGCTAACCCCCATTTATATTTATATCCCTTTAACTTAATACATTTGTTGAAGACTTAAATGGATGACTATAGCAAAGAGACAAGTCCCACAAAATTTGAGGGTGATCCTAAATCCTAAAAGTTTTCTTTTTATCCTTAATTCCTTCCTTTTCAATATTTTTGATGGAGAATTTAAAATGTATGAGCAGAGAACTATATAGAAACCGTCAAACTGTCTCATTTTCATTATTTAGAAACTCTGCAGTGACTACCAGGCTCATGCAAGGAATGGAATACTTTTCTGTACCAGAGAAAATGACCCCGTTCGCGGTCCCGATGGGAAGATGCACGGCAACTTGTGTTCCATGTGTCAAGCCTTCTAGTGAGTATAGAGCTTTAGATTGTCACAGAGTGAAGGGGCCTTACAGCTAACCTAGCAGAACCAGCTTGTTTCATAGATGAGGAAATGGTGCCTTGACATAGGGAAGGGAGTTGAGTAAGTGACACTGAAACTGTTAGTAACAGAGCTGGGAGTAAGTACCTAGACCTACTTATTCCAAGGTGTCTGTGTTGCCTGGTCACTCATTCCCGTAGCACTGGAACATCCTGACAAGCATGAGCTTATACAAATACCACGTTGTTCCTACTGCTGAAATTCCATATGTGAACCCCTTGCACAAGTTTATAGGCACCTCATCTTCCAGAGGGATAAGAGCCCAAAGTTAGCACTTAGTGTAAAAATTGGTTACTAGAGTCAAAGTTGCCCAGGAAGCAACCATGAACCCTTATAAATGACAGTAAACGTTACTTTAGATAACATTTCTCAGTAAGTTAGAATTGACACTTTGCTTTCAAAATTTGGAACTACTCTCAGTTTCTTTGATTGAGCTTAGTTTAAGTAATTGACTTACATTTAGAGTCTACAGCTTTTGACTGATAACCGAGTATGGTTGAAATACCATCAGTGAACTATACATACCATGCAATTCTATTGCTCAAAGCAAATTAGGCTCATTTAGTTTATCATTGTATGGCCTTTTCTACCCGCCCTACGTGTTTTCTTTAGATAACACAGCCATGAGTAAGCAATACATTTAAATTGAATTAATAAAGTTAGGGTGTGCATGATGGGATAGGTAGATCATGGACTTGAGAGGAGAGAGCTTGACTAGCTGTAATCATATCCTAAAAGTGTAGCCGAAGCCCTCTCTGCCTCCCCTCCTGTCTGTGAAACAAGGGGACTGACTGGTTGATATGCTTTGTTAAGGCCACTTTCAGCCTCCAGGTGTAATGTCACCACAGTACTAGTTTTGGTCATCTCCTTTATGGACATTAATGATGTTTCTTTTCTGACCACAGGCAAGAAAGGTAATTTATAGAAAGTGAGCTTTCCAGACCCTCAGTTACTATCTTTCTTTTAATGTTAAGTAGGAACTATGAAGAAGTTGTGGTATCTTACCATACTGGGGGTTGTTTTGTTGCTTCTCATTGGTAGGTAGTGATGAAAGGACAAAATCGCTTCTTCCGAGGGAGGCAGGACAAATTAGCAATGCAGGAATGTTGGGAAATTATTACCTACATGTTTGGTTCTATGGCTCCTCTCGTTTTCTCTCACTCAGCCAAGCAGAAGTGCAAGAGAAGAAAAAGGCAGAAGCAAGAAATAAGAGAGAACCAGGAAAAGCACCCTCATTTGCAGTGAGTTGAATCCACCCAATAAGTCCTACTTAGCACAGTAATTTGAACATCCCTCAAAGAGTGTAAAGGCTGCCTGGCCAGTGTTGCTCAGCGGTTGAGCATCGACCTAGGATCCAGCAGATTCCAGTTCGATTCCTGGTCAGGGCACATGCCCGGGTTGTGGGCTCGGTCCCCAGTCAGGGGTGTGCAGGAGGCAATTGATCAATGACTCTCATCATTGATGTTTCTCTCTCTCTCCCTCTCCCTTCCTCTCTCTGAAATCAATAAAGCCTTTAAAAAAAAAAAAAAAAAAAAAAAAAGAGCCTAAAGGCTGGAATATTGCCCTATAAAAATAACCAGAAAATCTTAACCCTTCAATCTGAGGATGACATTCCGCAGAATGCAATCTCTTGAATGCTGTGGGAGTTTGATCAATTCTTACTGCTTCTGAGACTAACCATGTGCCATAAAAATAACTTATCCCAAGCCTGAAAAACTGAGTTCTAATTTTATCAATTACAGACTGTGCTGGCTTTTGCTTACCACCTTTCAGAGACTCTAAATGTATATTTTCTACATAAAAACTTTTGAAATTTCACATCTGAGTTAGGATAAAAATACCTTGATCCCACACACCAAAAAAAAAAAAAAAAAAAAGGAAGCATGATTTTTTATCTCTGAAATGTCACAATATATATTGCCATAGCCTTATCTAAGTTTTTATAACCTATTGTTTAGATGACAATAGTCTCTTAATCTTTGGTCTAGGTTCTGTCCTATCCCTTATCCAGCTGTCCTAACACAGCCAGAGTGAAATTTCAAAATATTAATCAGGTCTCAGTACTGCTCTGCTTAAATCCACAAACAGCTCGTTACATATCTGATCAAGGTTGCATCTCTGTCTCATCTCCCTTCTTATTTGCCTTCTTACCTGCAATCAGAAATTAATGCTCTGCTCTATGCCATATATGCCATGTAGTTTTCTGCTTGTGTCTCTCAGCTTATTTTAACAATCTGGTAGGCATGTTCCCCAATCCATTAAACAAGAGTAAATCGTATTTACTCTTCATGGTCTCAGTCAAATTATTCTTGTCCCCTGACATCTCCCCTGCTTTCCACAATCAGATTTTATGGTCCCAACTTCTTGAGCTTTCAGATTTTATTGTACCTCCATGTTTACACTTATTTTATTCTGTTTAGTTTATAATGAAGTTTACTTGTCTATTTCCTTTATTATATTGCGACATCCTAGTATGTCTTATTTGTTCCCATCTCTTAGCAACTGATGAGTGTTGTTTGTTGAATTGAACTTTATATTTGAGAGAAACACAGCTAAAACCCTGGGCTTGAAGAAACCTGACATTAGTTTCTGCCAATGCAGATGTTCCAACCTGCTGCTGTGAATAGGAATGAAATGTATGTCCCACTTATTTCTGTTTTGACAGGAGCTGTGCAGTGACTACCGCAAGTTTGTGAGGAATGGCAGACTCGCTTGCTTCAGAGAGAGTGACCCCATCCAGGGCCCAGATGGGAAAATGTATGGCAACACCTGCTCCATGTGTGAGGTCTTCTTGTGAGTAGGACTGCAGCTGGAAAATATGGGAGGGTTTTGTCCTTTCTGCTACATTTCCTTATTTATTTTTTTGCTTTATTTTATTCTATTTTATTTTTAAAAATTGTGTGTGTTTCTTGTCAATGGCATTATTGGGCCACATTTTTGCACAATGTCATAATTATCAAAGAACAATTCCTGTATCTCAATCTCTGGCTGGTTGAGTTCCTGAGGAAGTGAAAAAAGATGCAGAACAAGGACCTGACCTGTGCAGAGTGGGATATGAGGTCATCTGAATTTACACCACAGATCCCCAAGCAAACAAACCAATACGCAAAACAGTGGGTTGGCACGGGACCTGGAGGAATGACTGGAATAAGGAATTGCTGGGATCTGGTGGAGTTAACTCAGCTCATGAGTCTTCTCAGCTTGAAGAGCTTAGTTGAAGCCCCCTCTATGCCCCTAATCCCCAAATCTCTCCCTCATAGGACCCAGAACTTTTCCTTCATCATATTCGTCACAGTCAGTAGTTGTAAATCTATATGTGTGACTATTGGTTTAACATTTCTCTCTTCCACTAGATGATCATTCTTTTTATGAAAGGGGTTCTAGAAAATGTAAGCGCTGAGTTCAGATTAACCTGCTTCATTTCTGTGTTCAGTTATGAGAGGGCCACTTCAACAGGAAGGTAAAACATATTTAGAGGAGATGGAGAAATGGGTAAAGCCCACGGCATTTGAGGATTATGAAAGCTCGGCACACTTAGCCAGGGGAAAGTCACAGTCTTGAAATGTCCAAGTAGTTTTTATCTTTAAATGTGCAAACAGTACTGGTTCCAGGTTGTCTCTGTGGGTGAAAGTGGGGCCAGTGAGTGAAAGCTCTGGGAGACAGGTTTGGCCCAAGGCCAGGAGGAACTTTCTAGTGCTGGAGGACTTCAAGATGAAATGACCTGGCATGGGATTTCAAGGATGGTGGAGGTGGATAACGGACTGGCAGCCTGAAGCAAAACTAGATGGGAATCTGAGTACTGGAAGCTTAAAAACCACCTCTGAGCTACGGTTGATATCCTTAGTCTGCACTTATTCGTTCTGTGTCCTTGAGAAAGCTATGCATCCTCTCTGTCAGTTTTCTCATCTGTAAGTTGGGGCTATAATAGTACTTTTGCTACATGTACTTGTGAGGATTTTACTAGTATGAGCACAAGGTTGGGCATAGACTTCAATAACTATCAACTATAGCAATTAAATGATATTTCAGATCAATTTCAACCTGGAGATTTTATGATTCTTACTCATTTCTTTCTTACCCACTCCCTTTCAGCCAAGCAGAAGAAAAAGAAAAGAGAATGAAGGAAGCTGAATTGAGAAATAAGAGAGAATCTAAGACTACAACTTCCTTTGAGGTGAGGGAACCTTCTCCAAGTCAGAGACATGTAGACCTGGGGCCCGTAGAGGGCATTCAGGGAACCCATAAATTCCCTGAAACTGTGGGAAACATTTGGACAGTTCTGTTTGTTTATATGTGTGCATAGACACACGTGCATAGGTGGCTATTTTTCGGTTGAGGATCCGTTACTTAGTCACTTGAAAATACCCATGTCTTCAAAGTTAAGAACTCTTCTAAAATAAGCCAGTTGCTGATTCCCACTTAAGAAAAAGTCCAAACGTCAGCTTTCTTGCAATATAATCCAACCTGTGTTCAATGCCTCAACCTTCCCTCACCGATCTCACAGGAATTGTGCAGCGAGTTCCGCAAGTCGAGGAGGAATGGGCAGCTGCTGTGCACCAGAGAGAACGACCCCATCCAGGGCCCCGACGGGAAAATGCACGGCAACACCTGCTCCATGTGTGAGGCCTTCTTGTGAGTAGCACTCAGGCCTTCTGAAGGAGTGGGGAGATGGAACTAAGAGAAGTTTTCAGACAATTGCGAATAATGCCTTTTCCTCTTCTGTGTAGAATTCAATTTTGGGTGTCACATTTTAATAAGCTAAAAAAAAAAAAAAAAAAAAAAGAACCAAAAGAATGCTAGAAATAGGAAATATGATGAAATTTTAAATGTAAGTATCAGGGTAAACATTCTCACTTTATTCTCAATCTTAGGGAAGAAGCAGTCAGTCTTTGACCATTAAGTATGAGGTTAATTGTAAGGATTGAGGTACAAGGAAGCAGGGTTTTTGTTGGTTGGTTGGCTGGTTTTTAATCCTCACCAGAGAATATGGTCTTTGTGTTTGCCTATTTTTGTTTTTATTGATTTTAGAGAGAGAGGAGGGAGGGCAAGAGAGAGAGAAAGAGAGAGAGAGAGAGAGAGGGGAACATCAATGAGAGAGAGAAACATTGATAGGCTGCCTCCTGTATGCACCTGGACCAGGGATCGAACCTGCAACCTAGGTATGTGCCCTGACCGGGAATCGAACCCACAACCTCTTGGCATATGAGACACCACTTCAACCAACTGAGCCACCCAGCCAGGGCAGGTTTTTTGTTTTGTTTTTCACAGATGTCCTCAAATTGAAGAAATNTTTAAAAAAAAAAAAAAAAAAAAAAAAAGCACAGAACCAAAAGAGCAAGTAGACAGCTTTCAGATGATAATTCTTGTGATGTAAAGTGACACAGAATCATTTCTTTTAGGATATTTCAGAAAGAACTCAGCATCTTTTATTCAGAGAAGAAAATACTCTATGGTAACCTTACTCATTGCTTTTAGTTTTCTCCAGGATTACCAGCTGGAATAGGGAATGAAGGAGGTTACATGTAAAATACCATTGTGATGCTCAGCAAATTTTAGGAGATTTTATTTCAATTCACCACCCTACCACTCATTTTGTGTGACCTCAAGGAATGGAATTAAAATGGATGAGAGCTATAGGGAGACAGGTTTGAGTGCAACAGGAAGATGAACTTCACAGCAGTTAGCAAAGGAAAGGCTGCTTCAGGAATGATGACTTTCCTGTGTAGGAGTTGGATGTCCATTTACAGGGACTAAGGTATAATTGTAGAGTAAATGGTGTGCCATGTCCCCTGAAACAAGCCTGTGGAATTCTATAAGTCTTCTGATCTTTGTCCAAAGGGATACTCCAATTTATTTTCTCTACGCCAGAATCTCTGGATTTAAGATTTAGTCATGCAGTCTTTTGGGGTAGAAAATAATATAACCCAGCAGATTGATCCCATAGTGTTTGGGCCATGGAAACATTAAAAATCTACTAGGAGGAAGTCAAGACAATGACCATGTAATCATCGTAATCAACATTTATTGAATGCCTATAATCTTCATGTACTAGCCAAGAGCTTTGCTACCTAATCTCATTTAATCTTTACAGCAAACATATGAAGTAGGTTTTGTACTATTGCAAGTTTTAGATGGAAAAATAAAGGCCCAGAGATGTTGCGAATGATAGAAAAATCAACACCAGAAAGACAAAGAACATGATAATATTTCTCACTGTATTATGCAAACAAGATATAATCATTTAGCAAAGCAATGATCAGCTTCTGGTAGTTGTATTTACCTGTATTTAGGCTTGTTTCAGTCTGTTTTTCTTTACCACTACACTAATCTCCCAGTGACAAGGAAGTAATCCTGCCATCTACTGGTCAGCTCTGCTACTTGCTGATAATTTCCCTGTATGGAAAGAAAATGCTTCTTGAATTTTTTAGTCAATTAGACTCATGATAAAGTTTAGATCAGTTTTCCTTTTAAAGAAGTATGAGAAACCTAACAATTTCAGAGGTATTTTAATAATTGTTTCCCATCACTATAAACGCCATATCAAAAAAAATTAAAGTTTTATCACCTCATATTTTATGGATATGTTAGCAAATGTATAAACTTTCTTGAGAATCATTCTTTCATCTGTAGCCTTCTCTTGCACACTTTTAAATCATGTGTAAACACTCTCTTCAACTTTTAAAAAGTTTTAGTTTTATTGATGGGCAAGTCTTATGTTGATTGGAACATATGGAAACATTTTCACAAATTATTGAATATTTTTCTGTCTATATGACATGATTGAATTACTTGTATTATAGATCCAATTATGTTATAAACCCATTCACTGAACACAGTTTGCAACATCGTTAGTTACCCCAAATGGTTAAGAACTGTCACTCCCACTTCACTTCCATCATATGCCTGTTTTTGGAGAATTCGCTTTTAATGGTGATTACAATGATGATGATACCACTCACTTATGTCACTTCTGTCAATCACTTTATTATGGACCAGATACTTATTCTAATTGCTTTACATGTATCAACCCATTTCACGCTCACAACAGTCTAATGAAATAAGTATTCTCATTACCTCTTCTGGCTCTTCTGTACCCTCCCTACTTAAAGTTGAGGAAGCCACAAAGGGGTTAAGAATTTTTATGTTTCCTATGCAATCTGGCTGCAGAGTTTTCCTGTTAACTACCATTGCTATATTGGCTCTCAGAAACCAAATATTGCCACTTTATAAAGCGTTGTTGCTGATGCAAAAAGATCAGAAAATAAGGACTCATTCCAGAGTATTTGCTGGGAAGCTACACAGATTCACTCATTAGGGGATTTTTCTCCCGCACCCCACTCTCTTGAGCAGAGGGGACTCATCTAACTTAGTATCCAATAAAATTGCAAGTCACTATGATTAGATCTTTGGGGTTACTTGAGAACAGTCAAAGCAATGAATGATTAACTTGTAAACGTGAAGGATCTGCTCCACTGTACTAAAATCCATCTCTTCCCCCCACCCCCCGTTACTTATAGCCAACAAGAAGAAAGAGCAAAGGCAAAGGCCAAAAGAGAAGCTGCAAAGGTAATGTTCCCGAAAGCTAACGCCACGCCTTGGTGCTCTTTCCTCTGGAATAGCATAACATTGGGTATGTTTAAGGCGTACAGTGTGTTGATGTCTAAAGTGATTACCACACAGCTTTAGCTAACACCTCTGTCACATCACAGAATTACATTTTGTGTGTGTGTGATGAGAACATTTAAGATCTATTCTTAGCAACTTTCAAGTATGTAATACAGTATTGTTAACTGTAATCACCGTGTTTTATGGTAGGTTTCCAGACTTATTTGTCTTATAACTGGAAGTGTGTCCCTTTGACCGACATCTCCCTGTTTGCCCCCCCAATCCCTTGGTAACCACCATTCTACTCTCTATGAATTCGATGTTTTGTAGATTCCACATATAAGTGAGATCATATAGTATTTGTCTCTCTCTGCCTCATTTATTTTACTTAGCGTAGTGCCCTCAAGTTTCATCTAAGTTGTCTCACATGGCAGGCTCTCCTTTCTTTCTCATGAAGGCTCACCAATATTCTCAGTTCCTCTCCTTCTGGGCCTATGGAATAGTCTCACCTTTGATCTTCCATAGCTTTGATAGACTGATGTGCAACACAATACACGCACACACACACACACACACACACACACACACACACACACACATTTCTTTATCATATGTCAGCCTTCTTCTGCAACAAGATTCCGAGCACCCCCAGGAGGACGATGAGGGTGTTTGCAAACCCACTTTAGTGCCAGGACAGTTCTGAGTCTGTGACAGGAGCTTTGAAACAACTTACTGATTTGCTGTGACATGTAATCACTTTTGTTTTTCCTTCTTACTCTTATTTATTCTTCACTTGTTCCTCATGACAGACAAAGGAAGGGTAGGGAACTGCTCTGAGAAATGATTTTCTTCCCTTTCCAGGAACTCTGCAGCGAGTTTCGGAGCCAGGTGAGGAATGGGTTGCTCATATGCACCAGGGAGAGCGACCCCATCCGCGGCCCAGACGGCAAAATGCACGGAAACAAGTGCGCCATGTGTGCAAGTGTGTTGTGAGTATCTCCCCTCCTCTCTCCCATGAGATGTCTTCACCATTGGTCGTCCCTGAGTCTCAATTTCTTCAGGAATGTGTGGAATATATATCATGGGTTATATGCTGGGTAATTTTAAAAGCACACGGACAAGACATTGGGTAATGTTGAATCACATGGTGACAATGTTATTACTTATTCAATAGTATTTATTCAATAATTATCTTCTAATTAAGTCATGGTAAAAAAAAAGTCTTAATTTAGTGCCAAAATTAAGTGTCAATTAACACTTGACAATCATTGTTCACAACAAAGAGAGAGCAGAGTTTTGATAATCTGGATGGGACCATCTCTTTGGTCTCTCTCCCACCCCTGACATTTTACAATCCTGTGAGCATATTCAGATACTGGTTAAGGGAAACCATTTGGACAGATGTCTATGGGCCCAGTATGTAAAGACTTAAAGTAACCTGAACAAAAATGGACTAGAGAGAATTATATTTGCCTTTTCAGAGACATTACTATACACAGATGAAATAAACACTTTGATAAGTGGTTTAGTGTAGAGAGTTAAACCCCTGAGAGGCAGGCCCATCTCAGAAATGTTTATTAAAATGTCTTCTTGGTAAGCCAGTCCAGGGCCCAATAGGCCATTGTTTCGCTGAGTGGGACCAGAGCTCCATTGTGTGAGACTGTACAGGAGAAGCTGATGGCATCTTATCACCTTCAGTTCTCTTTCCTAGACTCCTGATCCCCTCCTGAGCCTCATGCTAAAATAAATGTTAAGAAAAATATTTAAATAGTATCTGTTGAAAGAGGTGCTAAGTTAACATTGCTCCTTAGCTTTCACACCTCTTGGCCCAGTCTTAAGTGTAAGATTTAAGGCCTTAAAGGAGAGATTAACAGGGAAGAGCAGTAAATAGTGACCTGAGATTCAAAAAATTAGGGCTCTTCTTGCACCCACTGGATTTGTAGTGCTGTGGTGATGACTGGCTTAGATGTGATAGATGCTAAGGATTTTTTTCCAGCTTTAGGATGCTTTGTGTCAGTAGAAAACAGCAAGAATGCCAGAATCTTAGGTTCGCAATCAACCTCCAAATATTAGCTGTTGAATCTTCCTTGGCTGGAATCATTATTGTACCCTAAAACTTGAATTTCAACTTAAATACTAATGCCATTAAGATATATTTAAAATTTTTATTTTATAGTAAAACATGGTTGGGTTTGATTATGGACCCATTATTTGCTTTCATCATTGATGTGGTAGTCATTTAAATAGGAAAGTTTTTTTTAAAAATCAAGGCAATTGAGGCTTTTTTAAGATTATTGGCTGAAGTCTCTGAAAGAAAAGAGACCACCTGAGGTCCACATACTGATAAAAAAAAAAAAGGCCAGTTTTAATTTTTAAAAGGTATTGGGAACTACTGAATTTATCTGCACTAATGGCAAAGTAATAGCACCTCTTGGGCTGGATTAATTTGTACTGAATCTGACCTTTGGCTCTTCCTTCTGGAAATACCTAACCAAAGAGAGTGAGGAGTCTTATTTAGCTTGTATCTTCTTTTTTTTATTTTATTTTTTTTATTACAGCAAACTTGAAGAAGAAGAAGAGAAGAAAAATAATGGCAAGGAAGGAAAGGAGAGAGGTGACGCTGAGAAAGTTAAGAGAGAAGCAGTACAGGTAGTTATTTTAGGCCATCCATTCCCACTAGGCCAGGCCTCGCTCCCTCCTCCAATTCCCAGTGTCTGTAGTGACTTTGCAAACTGAGAAAATGTGCTTGGACCCTCATGTGTAAGAAGATCCCTTGTTTCTAGTTCAGTTTATTCACACCAGATTTGGTCTAGTTGCTTGTCCATTTCAGAAGAAGTCAACCACCCCCTTCTCTACTGAACATGTAAATTGTATTATCCCAAGAAAGAAGTATATGCAGATTGTCTTGTTGTCTGAATGAAAACCAGCAGAGGCAGACTTTAGATTTTTCCTCATACCTTGTTGTATAAAGGTGTTTCGTTTAAAAAAAAACACACCCCAAAAACCTAGGTTTTCATCCCAATTAATTCTCTGTGAGATTACTTAATAGCATCTTTTAGCCTTGGGACTGCTTCTGTAACACTCACATGAGGATGGTAATGAGATGATGATGATGACAATGTAATGGCTATTAATTATTTCATTGCTACTGTATGCACTGTGGTCTATCAGTTTTATGACTGATCTTTGTAGTATTGTCCAAGGTATATATTATTATCTGTATTTTAGAGAATAGGACTCAAAGGCTCAGATAAGAAGTTAGAAAATATACATAATTATTAATTTGAGAGAAAGCAATTGTACCACAAGGTCTACCTTTAATGCCCATAACGTACGTTAGATTTTACACACTCTTTCAATGTGTAATTTTCCCACAGGCTGTGCCTCAGATCTTTATTACTTTTTCCTTTATACTTTTATAATTTGGAAGATCTCACGTCTTCTCCCTGCTCTCATGTTTGCACCCTACAATCTACTCTCAGCTCTAATGCCAAAGTAATTATTTAAAAACAGAAGACTGGTTGTGCGACCCAGTGCCTCCTCACTCACTCAGAATAAGAAAGTTCTAGTGGCTTACAGCGCCATACATAATCTGACCTCTGCCACCTTTGGATCTCCTTCCCTACTGTTCTACACATTGCTGCCCTTGACAAGCCATATTGGCCACCTTGTTGCTTCTTGGACATGCCAAGCATTGAATCAACACTCCCCATCTTGTGGACTTAATAGTATTGCGTATAAAAGCCTGACTCTGGACTCAGACTGTCAGGATTCAAGTTCTCGCTCCATCTCCCTACCAGTTGTCAAACAGTTAACATTTTTGTGTCTGAGTTTCCTCATTAATAAAATAAAGATATTATTATTATTATTATTATTATTATTATGTCCCAAGGAACTTATCCATGTATAACAGCACAGTCCCTCACATACCTAAAGTCCTCAATATTGAACATATAATGAACTTGACCTTCTACATGGTCTTGCTTATACTTGGTCATGAATGTCAAAATTCTGGCCCCTTTTCATGGTTCAGCATAAGTATTAGCTGCTCTTTAGAGATTTTCTGCATTTACACAGTATACTTTATAGCTCTCTCTAATTTTTCTTTATTTCTCAATTATATCATTTGTTTTATTCTAACTTATAGATGCTTCTATATATTTCTTTAAAAGAAACTAAAAACTCTGTAGTGGTTTTTTATGATTGCTCTAACAAATTACCACAAACTTGGTAGATTAAAAACAATTCAGACCTATTGTCTTACAGTTCTTTAGGTCAGAAGTCTGACATGCATCTCACTGGGCTAAATCAAAGGGTTGGTAAGGCTGTGTTCACTTTTAGAATCTCCAGGGGACAATTTGTCTCTTTGTTTTTTCTAGCATTTAGAGGCCATTCATGTTCCTTGGCTCCTGGACCCCTTTTGTCGTCTGCAAAGCCAACAACATCACTTGTCTAACTGTTCTCTCTAGTCACGTCTCCCCCTCACTATCTCGTCTGTCTTACTCTTCCAGTTTTAAGAGCTGACCTTTGTGATTACACTGGGCACACTGGATTTATCCAGGACAATCTCCCCATCTCAGTCATCTTTAATCACATCTTTGAAGTCCCTTTTGCCCTGAAAGGTGACATATTCACAGGCCCTGGGTATTAGGGCTCCTACAGATTTGGCGTTTGGAAGCAATCATCCTGCTTACCACAAATTTCCTTACAAAAGGAACAACAAATTCTTCTTCATGTCTCTCACAGTGCCAAGCAGAGCATAATATTTATATCTAAGTGAAGGTTTTCTGATAAGATATGTTACAACAATCTTATATTCCAAATAACGTGTGATCTGGGCCACTGAGAAGCACGTTGGCTAATCCCGGCTTCTGCATCACTCTTTCCACTTATTGGTTATGTTTGGGGCATCATGTCATAGTTTTCAAAGGGGCAGCGTGGGGAAGTTTCTAATGCTTAGTTACCTGATCCTCGGCAGGAGCTGTGCAGTGAATACCGTAACTATGTGCGGAACGGGCGGCTTCCCTGCACCAGAGAGAATGACCCCATCAAGGGCCCAGATGGGCGAGTCCATGGCAACACCTGCGCCATGTGTGAGGCCTTCTTGTGAGTAGCGCTTCAGCCACTGCTCCTGCTGAGCGGAGGAGCCATCTCCCGGGGTGGGCGACAGAGGAGATGGAAGGTTTTCTCTAGGAGGCAGCAAATGGAGTCTACCTTTGCATTGAGTTTGGGGATTTCCTGTGGTAAAGCCACACGGTTAGCGCATTCTGTGTCGTGTTCTCAGTGCCCTGGAAGAAACTGGAATCACCAGGCAGGGAGGACCATGTGCTAAGGGGCAACTCCCCGCACTAATGGCATACAAGCACTAGGATTTCTGTTCTCTGCATACACAGGCATGCATTAGCCCAAAGACGTAATCATTGGGCATAACTAGCTGAAAATTTACCAGCACCTAGTTGTGATTTTCAAGCATCCTGCTGCATCCTGGGAAGAAGGGCAATGTCTTTATTTTCTAAAAGAAATATTGTAGTGAAAATGTACTTACTGTCGCTGGGGCACAGTATGTCTTATTTTTATGCAACACTAAAGACAAGAAGAATAATCTGGGGGGGCAGGTGCCTTTGCCCCTCCATTCCTGAGCTAAGGTGGCAGAGGTGTGGGGGGACCGGGCTGCTTCGCTCTGGAGAGGTTTCCCCTTTAGGGTCCTGCGCTGGGTGCTGGGAATGACCCCCCTGCCTCTCCCACAGCCAGCAAGAAGCGAAAGAGAAAGAAGCTGAATCCAGAGCAAAAGTGAAGAGAGAAGCTGAAAAGGTACTTGTCCTGGAGTGTTCATGCCCCGTGAAAGAATGAGGTTTTGTAGATTGTCTTTTAAAATAATTCATGAAATTACTGAAGAGAGAACTCGAGGTTCAGTTGGTCCCAGGGTTGATGAAATTTTCTTAAAGGACCACATAGTAGATATTTTAAGTCGTGACTATTCAGTCTCTGTCACAAATACTTGTCTGCTGTTGTAGCTGAAGCAAATGGGCACGATGTGTTCCAATAAACTTTACACAAAAAGGCGGTGGACCAAGTTTTGCTCCCGGGCCATAGTTTTACTTGCAAACTGCTGATTCACTTTGTTCCCATGTTTTTAAATGAAGATTTAAAACAGAGAGAAAGAAGAACTTGCTTAGAAAGGTAATGGGAGTGTTGATGTGTCAGAACCCATGTCTTCAGATTTCAAAGTTTTCCCATTTGAAAAGTGGAAACAATGGAATTCAAACCTAGACTCGCTGACACCAATCCAGCTTTATTTCTAACAGACCATGCGGTTTTAGATGGCCGCATTTTGTCAAACCAGGTGTGTTTCTTGCTTTACCTTTAAAGATTTCTGGTGCCAGCAGTTTTGGGGAAGGTAGAAAAGCAACTTTCCCAAATAATATTTTCTTGATTTCAGAAAGACTGATTCCAGGTAAACCTTTTCAAGTTTGTGTCATTTGCTTGCCCCCATCAAAAACTATTGATACTAAAAATAATTTCTAAACAGAAGCATAGCACTTGGAATTCTGCATGATTGGTTTGTTTACAATTTTATTTCCCACGATTGTGAGTCTGAATTTTAAAATTATATAATTAGTTCATGGTTCACTTTTCAGCATCTACAAGAGAAAATTCTTTAGAATCAGACTACTTCTGATTTCACATTAATTACTACCAACAAACTATGCTCTCACACTAGATTTCTTTTACTAACTGGGACCAGTTAGGGAATCTGTCAGTGAACCTTTAGGCAGAGCTAGGAGAAAAAAATCACTGTTGTCTTCATTGAGTTTCAACTTAAACTAAAAGATACAAACAAACAAACAAACGAAAACGCACAAATGCAATCTTAATTGCTACCAGCAATCAACCATATGGTCTTAAATGATTTGTTTATCCCCTATCAATTTCTCATATAATTCTGGAACTGATATTTACTGAGTACTTCCTAGATGTTAGTCATTGCAGATACGCATACATGTGCTATCTCATGTTATTCTCATAACAATCCAGGACCTATATGAATGCTTAATGCATATTTACTTAATGCATATTGGCTTTTATTCTTTTAATCAAGTGGAATATACTAGGATTATTTCCGTCTTATGGACGAAGTACCTGAGGCACAGAGAGGCATCCCCCCATCTGAGGTCTCTTGATGGCAGGCTGGAACTATAATTAACAGTATGATATAGCACGTGTCCAGACATACCTGGAATATTATGTTAGGTTCTTTAGTAAAGGGGAAGAATTCAGAATGAGAAATTATACAGATGATTGAAACAGAATGGCCGGGCATCAGGGGATGTTTCGCTCTTGAAGAGAACATAGGGAGTTGTGGGGGAACGACGAGAGCTCTCTCCAAATATGCGAAGGACTCTCATGTGGGAAGGAAAATATTCTCAGTTTCTCTGAAGGAAGTAAAATCCTTGGACTTTGTTCACTGGTCTGAAGGAATATACACATCTTAATTGCAATGACAGCTTAGAAAAATCAAACCCTAAGAGTAGTGATTCTACTGGATTTATTATTTTCTAAGATCCCCAAAAGTAGCACTACAGCTCATTTGTGGGAACTCTCTAATAGAAATTTTGGAATGGACTATATGGAGGGTAATGGACCCATTATTACTGCAGGTGTCCCTGTGGAAATAAGGTAACTTCTGGACAGGCATGATATAAAAGGGATTGAGATATAGTGTGGGTGGTTGGACCAGATAAACTTGGAAGTTTTTTTTTATTTAATAGAATTTTTAAAATTTTATAATGTGTTTAGTATTGTTGTTTTCATTATAATATAACAGAGACGGACAATGAAACCCAAGTAAGAAATGCGAGCAGTTCTCAGAGATCCCACTTCGTTCAAAGATTTTTGCTCATTTGTGATGGCAATTTCTGTCTGAATTCAGGGGTTAAATCTCAAGAAGAAAGAAAGATAAACCACCTTTTAAGTCCTGTGTGCTTAGTGTGGAATTGAGCAAAACAAACAAACAAACAAAATTTCTTAGGTCATTTTTTTTTTTTCCTCCCAGAAAGCAGTTAGTAGGAACCCAACAAAGTAATTTCCAAGAAAATACTCAAGCTCTTGCCTTTTCTCCTCCTTTTAGGACACTTGTGGTGAATTCCGGAGCCTTTTGCAAAATGGAAATCTCTTCTGCACACGAGAAAATGATCCCGTGCGTGGCCCAGATGGCAAGACCCATGGCAACAAGTGTGCCATGTGCAAATCAGTCTTGTGAGTGCACAGAGGAAGCTCCTGCTGTGGGTCGACAGAGTTGGGGAGGCAGGGAGCTAGGAAGATAATAAATATTGTGTTTGTCCTTTCCAAGGAATGATTATCTGTAAAGCATCTTTAGGTGGATCTTTATAAAGGCTAAGATTTGCAATTCTAGATATAGACAATATATTAGACTGTTATAAAATTTCCCATTAGTTCTGGGGGAGAGCCTATCAGTAGATCAAACATCTTTCTTGATAAAATTGTAAGTCCTTTGCTGTCAGTGGGGCCTCTTCTCAAGATTATTTTGTGGTTCCTACTAGGAAGAAAACACACCAATTTCAATAGCAATCTAAGTCCTCTACTGGCATTTTTGAAAATACCACATTTTCAGGAAATGAAAAGTAGCTCTTTATACAATGTTTGGAAGCACAACTAAAATATTTGTTATTCAGGAGTCATTTACTGAACATCTACAGTGTAAAATGGATATAATGACTGCACAAGGATGAATGAAAGAGTCTGTCTAGGAATCATGCAGTTCCCTGGAGATTAGACATGGGCATTAGTTAACAAATACATTGCTAAATGAAAAGGGATGCTGACAATGTGTAAGGGAAGCTTAATTGTTTTATGGAGGAATAGAACTAGGGTTGTAATTTGGATAATATGTGGACAGTACTGGGAGGAATGAGAGGAAAAGAGGGGAACAGCATAAAGATTTTAAATTAAGAAAGCTGTCATATGTATAGTAAAGTGCAAGTTTTTTAATTTAGTTAGAACTTCACCAGCTTTAAATACCAGATCAAGGATTTTTAAGTCAATCCTATAAAGAGTGGAAAGCTGCTAAAAATGTTTCGGTAGGAGGAAAAGTACTTTAAATATGGTTCCTTTAGGAAGATCCATATGTCTGCAGTAAGAAGGAAAATAAGAGAAGGGAGGGACCAAAATTAAGAATGCCCCAAGTGGCGGTAGGGGTTTGCAGTGGCCCAGTGTAAAGTCACCAGAGCAAGGGAGAGAAGGTGAGTGGAGGCACTGTGAAGGGGAAATCAGGGCTATGTGGCAACAGCTATCCGAGCTGAGGCCAGGGAGCAGTGGGAGATGACTCCCAGAGTTTGGTTCTTCATGAAAGGTGGGGAATCCAGGAAGACACGTTTGGTAGGAAGATGCTTATTTTTAGAACTCTTAAGTACAAGGTATTGGAGAGAAATGCCTGTCGAGGCACAGGGAGCCTTTATGAAATGCTAATTAATTGCTTCCCTGGTCTTTGTGATGTGTAAGTATTGGTCTCCTACTGCAAAGAGGGCTCTCCCAGGCAGGAGGCCTCCATGCCATTCATCTTTTTATTTTCAAAGGGGGCCTGCAGCGTAGCGGAGGTTCAGTAAGTGCTGGTGAATTCCGTACAGTCTAGTTTGGCCGGGCGGTGAGAAGCTCACAGGCATGCAGCCACTCTCTGTAATCAGTTATTCCCTGCCTCCCATTTCTACTTTCCAGCCAGAAAGAAGATGAAGAAAGAAAGAGGAAAGAAGAGGAAAAGCAGAGAATTGCTTCAGAGCACGGTTCCAACGGTGGCGGAGGAGGGAAAGCTCAGGTGAGAGCAATAGGCTTGCACAACCAGGGTGGGCTTCGCTCGTTGATAGCAGGCCCACGGCAAAGGCTCTGGTACAAGGCGAATGTGGGTAGTGCCGAGCTTGAAAGTGTCCCTGGAAGAACAGGGGGTTGTCCCCTTAAACTCTAGGGTAATACCTCAGCAATTTTTAGTCTTTCTAGACCTTTTTAAAGCTGCAGTAATCAACATGGTGGCCTTACCCCAATCCCCTGGCTGTTCTTTCTATAGTCTAGCTCTCATGTCAGTGTCGATCACAGGAGAGTCAATGAATGTGAAGATGTGTCACATCAGGGTCACAAGCTTTTTATTTTCTTTTATAATTCTCTCTTTCCCTGAGTGGGGTTGCTTTGTTGAGGTATATCTCCTGTTGATCCAAGGCAGCATAATATGGTGAAAGAGCATAGGTTTTGGGGTACAACTCCGCCCCTTTCACTTAGGATTTGTGAAGCTTTGGATAAGTTGCTTCATCTCATTGAACGGGTGTCCCTGATTTAGCAGCACTCTTATAGGGATAATATAAGACAATTTAAACAAGTGTCTAGCACATTCCCTGAGATATTTTTAAGTGAGAGCATGACAATGGTGCATGTAAGCCCGTGCCTTGAGTGTGTGAACACAATTTCATAAGATCACAACCACCCTATTGTTTTTCTTACAACCTTGGGATGTTGAGACCTTCACTTCCAGGTCTGACACAGGCCCGATATTTGCCGTTCATAAACTTGGGCCTTTCTGTTTGGCCATATTTTCTCCTTAGGAGGCTGAGTTCTCATTCTCAAATAATAGATCTGTTAAGACCCTTTGCCTCTCTTCTCCACAATCTACCCAGTTAAAACCCTTTGTCTATCATCTCAATTTGCCCAAGCCTACTTTCCTTGGCTTTTGCATAACTTGTGCTCTCTCCCAGCATTTCTTTCTCCTTTCTATCTACAACAGAGCTCAACAATTATTTTTAAGTCCAGATAGCAAATGTTTTAAGCATTGCAGGTCATATGGCTTCTGTTGCAACTATTCAGCTCTGACATTGTTGTGGGAAAGCAGCCATAAATAATATCTAGAATGAATGAAGGAGGGAGTTTCAAATTTTATACATAAAACTTTATATATAAGAATAGGCAACAGGACAGATTAGTCCTGTAGGTTATATAGTTGGCTGACCCTTGACCTATGCTATTAAATTTCAGCCAGCTTTATTGTTTCCTTGTGTGGGACATTAAAAGCAGCATTATTAGGCATGACAATGGGCCATTTATTTATTTATTAATTTATGAAATATATCTTTATTGATTTCATAGAGAGGAAGGGAGAGGGAGAGAGAGAGAGAAACATCAGTGATGAGAGAGTCCTCATTGCCTGCCCCCAACTGGGGATCGAGCCCCCAACCCTGCATGTGCCCTGACCAGGAATCGAACTGCGATCTCCTAGAACATAGGTCAATGCTCAGCCACTAAGCCATGCTGGCCGGGCGACAAGGGGCCTCTTAGAATATGGGTGATCCCAGCCCTCTTTTCTCTGTAGATAGCAATCCTAGATGTTATATTCCATGTAAGAGAAGGTAGACAAAACTTTTCTTACTCAGATTGTTTAACAAATTTAATAATGATACAATAGACCTAGTGATCCAGAAGGCCTGCTCTCTTCTCCCTTTTCAGGACCAATGTGCTGAGTTTCGGGAAAATATGAAAAATGGAAAACTCAGCTGTACCCGGGAGAGTGATCCCGTACGTGACGCTAACGGCAAAACGTACAACAATAAGTGTTCCATGTGTAAAGAGATACTGTGAGTACTGCTCTCAACAGGCGTGCCTGAAAGATAGCCAGTCTTGCTGAATCATGGGCGATTTCTCATTTTCTGAGGGCTCCTGCAGTGAAAACTATTGTTTTTGTTAATTCCCAAAGATTATATCTCTTTCTCTTGCTTCCCCTAAGGAACCGTAAGAGGTTAAAAAACACATGATCCAAAGGTCCTTTCTAGACCTTTTTTCTATGTTGCAAAGTCTACCTTGGGCTCTATAATTTAAGAAATAATATTATAATAAATTGACCTACAAATCAAGGAAGTAGAATGGTGAGTTAGTGGGGAATTAAAAACTACAACTTATGATGAAAAGGTGAAATAACTGAGGAAGCAGGACTTGGAGAGTGGAAACTTGCATTAAATATCTGAAGTATTAGTATCAGGAAGATGTAATGTATCAGCAAGCTTGTTCTGTGTTGTCCCGAGAATGTGAAATAAGACTAAAGGATGGAAATGACAGGTAGATACATTTGGACACAAACACAGGAGACTCAAATTACTTGAGTTGATCTACCTAAAATATCGACCTGTGATGAGGGAGCTTCTTAATAACCGAGTTGACTCTCCCTCATAGGGTTAGGCAGAGACATCCTCTGTGGGGGAACAGGTTTAGGACACAAAAACTCCAAGAGTCCTTTGAAAACTGGGCACATGTTAATAAGATTACTATTGACTGTTTTCTTTTCTAGGGAAAGACAAGCAAATGGAAATAATTATTCTGGCTATAGAGCAAATGGGACTGAATCAGCATCAGGAAAGGTGAGTCACTAGGTTTTAGCAAGAATGGTCTTTCTGTAAGTCAACACTTTGCTATCAAAAGTGTGGAAAGGGGGTGTCAACATTGCAAACCAATATCTTGCCCTTAGATCAGAAGCCATCATTAACATAAATATCACTGGTAACTTGTTCAGTGTGGAAATTTAATGCCAAGTGGAAATCTTTCAGTCTTATACTTTACAAAGCACTTTTATAAATAGCAGTTTATTTCATTCTTTCAACAGCCTAGTAAAATACCTTTTAAAAAAAAAATTATTTTATGCCTGAATAAAGGGAGGTTCAACTACTGTAGCAATTTACTACCACCAGTGGCTTAAAACAACACCAATTTATTGGCATGTATATCTGGAGTTCAGATGTCTTAAATGGGTATCATTGTGTTAAAAACAAAGTGTGGGCAGGGTTTCATTTTTGTGTGCAAGCCCTAGGGAAGGATCTGCTTCTTTGTCCTTTCTAACTTCTAGAGGCTGCCTGTATTCTTTGGCTTGCGGCCATGTAAAAATCAGCAATGGCCAGTTGAATCATTTCCATGCCGTGTATATATAACTCTAACACTGATTCTCATAAGAACCCTAGAGATTACATTGGGTCCACACAGGTAATGCCGAATAATCTCTCCATTTTAAGGTCAGTCAGCTGATTAGCAACCTTAATTCCATCTTTGATATTATTTCCCTCTCGCTGTGTAAGCCAGCTTATTTACATGTTCCAGGAATTAGGCTGTGGAAGTCTTCATGGGCCATTATACTTTCTCCCATGGGAGGTTAGGTGGCTTCCTGAGTCTGAGTCAAAATCTTCAGATTTCCTTCCTTTCCTTTTTTTTTTTTCAAATACAAGCAAAAGTTTATTTAGAAAGTCACAGATGTTGAAGAAGAAGTGATCGTGGAATAAGTGAGCCCGCTGAGCTGCAGGGGCTCAGGGAACATTTACAGAGGCCAAAGAAGGGCCTTTGGAACTTAGGAGAAAGGGAGAGGCAAGGAAAACACCTGGGGGCAGGGGGTGGGGAAAAGTGTGGGCATGTTCCATAGAGACAGTAGCCAAAGTCTTCAGATTCTCCAGCCCAGTAGAATACTGTGTGAAAACATTCATTTCTAAGGTGATCTTCCCTTCTTTTCAGGATATGTGCGATGAGTTTAGAGGCCAAATGAAAAATGGACAACTTATCTGCACCCGAGAGAGTGACCCTGTCCGTGGTTCAGATGGGAGGATACATGGCAATAAGTGTGCAGTGTGCAAGGAAAAGCTGTGAGTACTTTTCAAAGCTGGGTCTTTAACTGTGAGTCTTAAAGTACAATGATCGTTTCTCATCGGTTTGAGAAAATGGCATTCTTTTTAGGACAGAGCTAGTAATTAATGAGGTAGTTGTTCACTTTGGTTGAAATGTTTCTTTATATTCTTTTTTTCCAGGGAAAGGGAAGCAGCTGAAAGGAAAAAGAAAGAGGAGGGTGACAGGCAAAACACAACAGAAAAGAGCAACGAAAACCAGGTAATAAATGTTAATACTTAAATTTGGATGTTTGTCTGTATGGTTAATTTATGGAACAAATATTTATGAAAAGCCTAATCTGTTGCAGTCATTATGGATGCAGTAATGTAAGCGAGAAAGACATGGCTAGATCTTGCAAAGAAATAGCAGGCTAATCAAGGTCCTAAAAGCAACTCTGATGCAATCTCTGCACATTTGTAGGGCCAGTGACAACTGTCAAATTATTGTTGTTATCAAGTGAATTTCTGTTCTGAAGTTTTAAAACAAAAACAAAAACAAAAAATAATAACCGAGCAAATAGATACCACGATTACAAATAAGAAAGCAGGAATCAAACACTTGGAGCGCAAGATGATAAATTCTTGACTTGGCATTACAGTGCCATCTTGTGTTCACTTTTGGGCTTTAACACATGACGTTCAATGCTTTATGACACCAACACATAGGAGATGACCCAGCACAATCTCTTCTAACCCATCTATGAGCTCCAATTAGAAGAGTAAAATAGCAAAATTTTCCCAGGAAGTTTTCCCATTAATGAGGCAACTTTTCATTAAGTCCATACTGATTAAACAAAATGAAACATTCATAATAATTATCATTTAAAAAATATATTGGGGATATCTGTTATGCATTTTGGTAGATGAACGGTTTTGTGAAAAGTCTTTATTGTATAACTTCAAGCGATATCTACTAGCCATTTATTTTATTTGTAATCTTGGTCAAATTTTTTCATTATTTATTATCTACTTTAAGAATGCCAAACAAAAAATGCTCTCTCTATATGTATATATAGAAAATGTCCAGATACTGTGTATGTGGCAAAAAGAGAACTGTGGTCTTATCTACACATGCAAAGTAAAATAAGTTTTACAAAGCATTTGCATAATCATTTTTAAACCTCCCCCAGATCTATGCAGTAGGTGGTATTGTTCCAATTTTACAGTTCAGAAAACTCAGAGAAGTTAACTATAGACAGCTAACAAATAGAAGATCCAGAGATTGCACCCATAAAGCAAAAGTTGCAACACAGGAAGATGGGTGCTATCATAAACATAGATGTTCTGGTGTGTTGGGCATGTGGAAAAGGAAATCATTCTAGTAACTTCTAAAAATGATAGCTGTGAGACATTTAATATGTTAATCAGATATTGAATTCCAGGGAATTTTTTTAAATGCTCAGAAAAAGTAGGTCTAGAGTTGTTTATATGTATCACAATATAAGGAAAGAGGGATTAGTATCGTCTAAGTTACCAGCAGTATTTTTTAAGGTAACCTCCCCACATCTCTACTGTGGCTCTTTGGGCTTAATGGAAGTTCAAGACAAACTTCTGGAGATGCCCAAAGCTTTCAACAGAGGCCAGATCCTGTGGACTTAATTCATTGGCTTCTTTTTAAGGTTCTTATTTTTCCATGAACAAAAAAAGCTCCATCTTCTCACAAATGTAGAGGAGTTTCATTCTCTGCCAGGTAAAAGCAACGAAGAAAGGAGAATGGCCTGATTGTGAGCTGGTTTCTGGTCACAAATCTAGCATTAACTTTAGTTCCTTAATCTCCCCAAGCTTTACTTTTCTCATCTGTAAAGTGGGAATAATGTGTGTTTATCTTATGGGGTTTTTATGACAACTAAAGGAAATCTATTAGAGCACACAACAGAGTGCCTGGCGCAGATTTGATTTAAAAATGGTTTTTGTTATTAAGAAACAAAGCTAAAAGTTTACATATTAGTATGTTTTGCCCAAAGAGCATCTTTTCGTTCATTCCAGGGTTTTTCCTGTATGAGTGGAGTAATGGGAACAGTTGTAGAGAGACAGGTTTGGGGCCCAGCTTAATAGAAAACTATATAGAAATGGGATGGGCTGCCTTAGGAGTGAATTCCATTGGGGGGAAACAATTATTTGAGAGGGATGCTATGGAGAGGATTCTAACTTCCTGAGCATATAGTGACTAAAGTGCCTTTAAAACACATTCCATCTCTAAAATTTCATTTTCTCTAGATTGTCCCCCCTCAGGTGTTTGGAGTTTAGATCTTACCAACCAATCCTGTTTTCAGTTCTTAAGATCAGACTATGGTATGAATGTCTTGCTTTGCTCCTGTTGGCAGGATCAGTGTCATGAATTCCGGAGCCTAGTGAGAGATGGGAAGCTCATCTGCACCAGAGAAAATAACCCAGTTCGAGGTCCATATGGGAAGATGCACGTCAACAAGTGTGCAATGTGTCAGAGCATCTTGTACGTGAGGAGGTTTATTGATCAGTTTGAATGTTGTGACTGTTGACCGAAGAACAGTTCCTCTCAATTTAAAACTCTAGGCACTTGGCCTCATATGTGACAAATATAATAATAGCTCCTCACTTCCGTAAAGGACAAGTTTCCAGACCACTTTCACAAGGAATTTTCATTTTGATGTTGAGCAGCACTGTTGAGAGTACCTGGGGCCTGTGGGATAGGGGGAGAGCTATTGCATTGTGCCCCAATTATTGGCTTTCAGAGAGGGAGCAGATCAGCTAAGTGATATGGGAAAGGCCGGTTCGCTTTACAAAGCCTCAGCTCCTCCTGCATGTAAAGGGAATGATGATTTCCTAATACAGTTTGTAGAGAGATTTGAGGAGGTAATATTTTAAAATGTTTATAAACTTTAAAGCACTAAAATTATATAATGAGCAATCAATACTAAAGAGTTTAGTTGTGCCCAGAAATAGATTCTGCTGGGGAAGGGAGTAGCGGCCTTGGAGGTCACACAGTTCTCACAGTACAGTGGCTGAACAGAGGAAAGTGGCCAGCATGGCCACAAACTGAAAATTCCAACAAGCAGGACTCATTAGTAAAAAAAAAAGTATTTTAGGTATTTTTTTAAATATGAGAAAACTGTTCGACTTGTTCATGATTAGAGCTGGAGAAAGACTTGGTTAAAAACATTTCGGTAATAACCCCGGAAACCTACCCTGTCCTTTTATATTCTGCAGCGAGCGAGAAGCCAGTGAAAGGAAAGGGAATGGTGAAGACAGGTCGCACGACAAGCCTCCGAATGATAAAAAGGTTATTCCTTGAAAGATATGAAGAAAACTCTTTTGCTTTTCACCCTCAAATATCGAATTCTCCTCCCGTGTTGGGATAATGAAGATGCTAATCTTTTACTACAAAGAAAATTGATTTTGCCCATGCTGTCACTTTGGGTACAAGATTGGTTTTTTTTCTGGCTCTGAGGTTTCATGTTTTTCTCAATTTTGTAGAGAATTCTCCTACAGTGTGTCAATTGTTGCTTTAGGGTCTTGTCTTGGGAGAAATGTGGGTTGAAAACTAGAGGGTGAAATCCTTCCCCACCCCACCTGCATGCTTCTCTCTGACACTACATGGGAAAGGCTTCAGGTCGCTTGTTGACATGGCTTTGACAATCCAGGTAATATAAAGGGAGGTCCCAGCCTCCCCTTTAGCCTCTGCCCTTGATGTCTTTTTTTCTGTTTTCTCCAGATGATTTTCTCAGCATCAGCAAATCAATAGTGTGCATGCATGCTGCAGCCTTTTCTGTTCGCTTTCCAAGACTGCGACGAAGACACCATCCTTCAGCCCTTTAACAGTGATAATCAATCCCATTTGTAGAGCTCCATTCCTATGGGAATGTCCTTTGGTCCAGGGCGCACCTCGTGTGGCAAATGGGAAATAGGAAGGATGGAAGGAAAGGGCTCAGGAGACCAGAAGGTCTATCAAGTGTTGTTTTCTGTTTCCTTGCATTTGCAGGACCAGTGCAGAGAGGTTCAGAAAGGAACGGCGAATGGAAAGCCTGGGCAGTCTGGGCATAACGGGGCCTCCATTGCCAGCATAAGTGCAGTGAGTCTGAGCCCAGAGCCAAGAGAGGACCTCCTCAAACCAAGTTTGAGAAAACCACCAAGCTAGGGAGGGAAACAGCCATGTTCACTTCTTTGTCTTCTTCCAGGATGAGTGTGCTCACTTTCGGCAGTACCTGAGGAACGGTGAGCTCCTGTGCACTCGGGAGAATGACCCCGTGCGTAGTGCCGATGGAAAGTTCTATAAAAACAAGTGCTACATGTGCAGATCTATCTTGTGAGTAAAAGGATCCTGTGACCCCCTCAGTGTGGGGGGAACTGCATTTGTAGAATTGCCATTTAAATCAATGTGGGCTCATGAACCATGGGGTACTTAAAATAAGTTTTCAGATTCAAGGCCCTTAACTTGACAACTCCTGATGTAGGAGGAAGAATGTTTGGATTTGGAGACAGGAAATCCAGATGTCAGATCTAACTAGCTGTCACTTAAAAAATTTTTTTTCAACTCTCAGGATCATAGTTACAAGAAATTATTCCACAACTAGATCATATTCAACAGAGAAGTCTTTTTATTTAAAAAAATATATAGATTTTTACACCCCAAAACATAGGAAGTCAATCTCCAGGGCTAAGAATTCATTTTTGAGAAAGGGTTTCTGGATTATTCTGATAAACAACCATACTTGGGGACCAATGGGCATAACAGATAATGATGACAATGATGACAATCATCATCATCAGCAGCATCAGTATTCATTTAGCTCTTCGAAGAATCGTTTTTGAGGAAAGAATTACTAGTACTACCCTTTTTTTTTTTTTTTATGTTCTATAAAATCTAAGCTCAAGGAATTGAAGCAACTTGTCCAAGGTAACACGTCTATTACGTGCCAAGAGCTCTAAATCAGAACCCAGCTGTGTACTTTCCTTAACATGTCACTTGGCCACTCTCTATGCTTTATGTTTTGAACATAGACTGTTCTATGGTCCATCATATTTTATTAGAATTGCTTAACTTCCCACTGGAAGTTACAGAGCTAGTCTTTGTGGATATGACTTTAAATTACTTTTTATTTTCTTCTTTAGTCAAAAAGAAGGTTTGGAAAGGGCAAGACTTCAAGAAAAGCCAAGCCAACCTCGAGCTTCCAAAGAGGAGGACAGCCCAGATTCCCCCAAATCTTCTCTGGTAAGAATGACTCTGTCTGAAAAGCTACTTATTAACTTAATTTGCTTATTAACTTAATTTGCTTAATTTGCTGTTGCCACTGGCTCCCTATAAATCTCATTTCCATAGAAAGGCCTAGGAAGGGCTGATTCAGTACAGCCTCAGTAAGTCCTTTGAGGATTAAATGTAGTTGATGTTTGGTGAGAATTCTAGGTTCCTCACCAGTGCATTAGTCTCTGCTTGTTGAGGTTATTACTCCCACTCCAAACCAATGTAGTACATTTTTGACATTTTAAAAAGTGGATGTGTAATGAATGTGACTTACCGCACACTCGGTCAGATAAGTTGTTAGGAGCCTCAATTCCATAATTGCAAAGACTGAAAAGGTTCCTCACCCAGCTTTCTCTCACTCCCTCTCCGCAAAACAAATCCTTTCCCAATGGTCTGGGACACTATGCTGAGCATGCTCACACTTGTGAAAGTCCCACAATCAATAATTCACAGTAGTTAAAACTTTTATTTAAAATACAGCCTGATGGTCATCAGTAATGTATATCTTAGTGTAAATTAACCGAATCAGATTGCTTTTTTAGAGCTATGCCAAGGTCAAGAGCAGAAAGGAGGAAAGGGGATATGAGAGCATGAAGTATATGCATGAAGTGGAATCTCAAATTGGGCCCTAAAGGGGAGATTTTAGCACCTGGTCAGAAAAGAAAAAGAAAGGTATCAAACATGGATTTTACCTAATTATTTGCCCAATTCGAGTAGGATAATAGATGAGTTGTACTAGTAAAATATATAGTAATTACACATTTCTACTAGGTTAGGCACTACACTGCAGATCCCTAACCATGAAGAAGAACTACTCACAAAACCTGTGATGACATACAACATTGTATAAATTTAAATGTACACTGTGTTAATTTGGTACACTTATATTTTGCAAAATGATTATCACCATAGCATTAGGTAACACCTTCATCACCTCACATAATTACCATTTCTTTTCTTGAGGTAAAACATTTAAGATCTACTCACTTAACAACTTTCAAGGGTATAATACAGTATTATTAGCTATGATCACCCTGCTGTATATTAGATCACCAGAACTTATTCATTTTATATCTGAAAGGTTGTACCCTTTGACCAACATATCCTCATTTCCTCCAATTCCATCCTTGGGTAACCACCAATCTACTCTTTGTTTCTTCTATGTGTTTGGTTTTCTGAATCCCCATATAAGTCTTTCTTTGTCCAACTTATTTCACTTAGCATATTACCCTGCAGGTTCACCCAAGTTGTCTTAATGGCAGGATTTCCTTCTTTCTTATAAATGAATAGCATTTCATTTCACACACACACACGCACACATGCACACATGCACACACACATCTTTATCTCTTTACCCATTGACAGACACAGGTATTTTCTATACCTGGGTTATTATGAGTAATAAAATCTGTTCTTTAAAAAAACACTTTACCGAAGTCTAATAGTCATATAGAAAAAGTGCACATATCATAAGTTATCACACCTGTGATATTAACACGTAGGTCAAGAAATAAGATATCACCAGGAGCCTGGAAGTCCCATCATGCTTCCTCCTAATGCATAATGTAGTTTTGGGCTGAACTTTCTCTTGGAGAAAACCACACTCATTATTCATTTTCTCATCTACTTAACCATCCATTTATTCATTCTACAAATATTTATTGAGCACCTACCATTTTCCAAGTATTATTTATGTGTATGAGAACAATAGCCATAAGTAAAACAGACAGAACTCTTTGGACTCTTGGAGTTTATTTTGGAAGAACATAGGTAATAGATAATGTGAATAAGTTAAATATAATCACCAAGGGGAAATAATGTAGAAAAATGATATAGTAAATTATGAGATATAATTTTAAGTATGCTGTAGGAAAGAGCTCTCTGGGAAGGGCACATCTGCACTAGGGCCTAAAGAGATTGATTTCATGTGTGTAAATGAGGGGAGAGCATTCCAAAAAGAGGAACAGCAAAGCCCCAAGGAGAGCAAAAGAGTCCAGTGCAGCTGAAATAGAGGGACCTCAGAGAGAGCAGCAGGGGAGGAAGTCATTCAAGTAACAGGGGGCCACGTTATATTGGATTTTGCGGAGCATTTTTAATATGTTGGCTATTCTGAAAGAAAACTTTGAGGAGTGATGTGATTTAATGTTTTAAAAGAATGACTCTGTCTACTGTATTGAAATTACACTGCAAGGAGGCAAGAGCGAAAGTTAGGCAGCTAGTTACTCGCAGCCGCAGTCCACGGAAGAGATGATTCTCATGTGTGGAGGCGGCGGTGGGCAAGGTCGGGAGGGGTGGCTGGATCCTGGGTCTCCTCTGAAGGTGGAGCCAGAATTGTTCAGAGCTGATGTACTATGTAAGAAAAAGAGAAGCACCCTGTCCTTGTTGCTTCTCTGTGATGCTTTAACTTAGCACTTTTGAACCTTGTAGCAGCAGATAAGTGAAAAATGCTAAAAATATGTATGGTTTAGTCTTACCTTTGTCAGGGACTCATAGAAGGTGCTTGTCTAAATTCTCCTTCGGTATCTCCATGCAGTCCAACAAGCATCCCATTTAGATGCTTGAAATATTTACAAAAACAAATACTTCTTACGCCTCTGAAACGAACATTAACAGGTGCAGCACTATGACATGTGTCTGGTTCAGAAAATGGTTTTCAAGGAATTTGTTAGTTTCATCTGTTGTCAAATTTGTTGGTAATTATTCATAACATTTTCACATTACTCTTTTATTAACTGTATTTATATAGTGACACCCCTTTTTATATTTATTATTGGTGATGTATATTTCTTGCCTTTTTGTCAGTTTTGCAAATGGTTTATTAAATTATTAATCTTTACAAACTTTCAACACTTGACTTTGTTCTGTTTCCTATTTCACAAATTACCCTTCCTGATTATTTGTTTTGTTTTATGTTTTCTTTGAGCTTAATTTGCTTTTTATTTGCTAGCTTCTTGAGATGGAAGTTTATATCACTGATTTTAAAACTTTATTCTTTTCTAATTATGTACTTAGTTATAACTGCCCCTCAGATTACTGTGTCAACTGCTATGATCTGATAGTCTGCACTTTCACTATCATTCAGTTCAAAGCATTTTAATGCTCTCATTACTTTGAGTCATGAGTTATCTAGAAGTGTGTGTTTAATTTCTAAACACCTGGGAACCTTATCACTGTCATATTTATTACCAGTATTATCCCGCTGTGATCATAAAACTTACATTTTATGACTTTAATTCTTTGAAATTTATTGACACTTGCTTAACTAAGGCTTAGAATAAAGTTTATTTGGTAATAATTTCATGTGGACTTGAAAAGAATGTAGTCTGCAGTTGTTGGATATAGAGATCTATAAATAACATTTACATCAGACTGGGTAATTTTGTTTTTCAAATATTCTATATCTTTGCTTTTTATCTGTGCTCCCAATTGCTGAGAGAAATACGTTAATATTTCCATTTATGTTTGCAAAGTTGCCCATTTCTACCTTTAGTCAGTCAATTTTTTGCCTCATATATTTTGAAACTATACTTTAAATACATGCATTCTTGGGATTATTAATGAATCTACTATTTTATCATTAGAAATTCTCATCTTTATCTTTGCTAATACTTTTTGCCCTAAATTCCTCTTTATGTGGTATTAACATAGATATCTATATTTATCTAGCTTTTATATGATGAATGTTTGCCTGTATATATTTTCTGTCCTTTTACTTTCAATCTATTGGCTGAAATAGAGAGATATATTTAAAGTATACTTCTTACAAACATTAAATAGTTGAGCCTTTTTGTTTTTCCCGTCTGATAATCTCTGTTCTTTAACTGGAGTACTTAGTCTTACTCTGTATTTAATGTAATTACTGACATGTTGTGTTTAAGTCTTCTATAATTCTATTTTTTTTTCCAGTTTCTGTTGTTTTTTCCTTTGTTCCTGTTTTTCATGAGTTAGTAAAGTTATTATTGAAATCACACTTCTAAAAGACTACAAAGAACAAATATGTTCCCTCTTCCACATGAAAAATTGTTTTTAATCTTGAGAAACATACTGACAGTTAACATATTCTGAGCCTTTAGTGTGTGCCAAACACTGCTATGCATGCATTTAAGGGCATTATCAGGTTTCATCCCTTAAAACACCAATATGAGACAAGAGCTGTTATTATTCATGCTTTCCGGCTGATAAACTAAGGCTCAGAGAAGTTAGGTAAATCATTCCTCCAGTTTAGTGGCAGAGCTGGGACCCTGCCCATGCAGTAATAACTAGCATTTACCTCTGAGTGTTTCCTTTCTAGATTGCATATATCCAGTGTCTTCATTTAAGAAAAGATATATTTTTTCATGATTACCATCCTAGTCCCCTTCTTATGGGCATGTCTGGCCTATTTGTGCCCAATCTCATGTTGGGTTTTGGCTTCCTTATTGCTCTGTTCTCCCTCGTTTCCTGGATGAGTGACTTATCTCCCCTGGTATCCGGGAGGTTAAATCCACCTCATAATGGTATGAAATAAATAATGTGAGTTTGTCCTATGTGACAGTTTCTTTACTAGTCATTTATTCAGATGTGATGGAGGAAATCGGGGGACTTTTCACAGCTCATTCCTTGAGTGCCGTTGAGCATATCTGATTTACGTTTTGCTTGTTCAGGATTCTGAGATGTGCAAACACTACCGAGTGTTGCCCAGGATGGGTTACCTTTGCCCAAAGAATTTACAGCCTGTCTGTGGTGATGATGGCCAGACATACAACAATCCCTGCATGCTCTGCCACGAAAACCTGTAAGTACGCACGTCGCACCGTCAGATCTTCCCGCGTAGGGGCTCCTGGCTGCCCACGGCAGTGATCTGGTAGCAATTTGGGATGTGCTGCAGCCAGCTGACCAGCCATAGCAGTTCCAAATTCAGATGTTGTGATCTTCATCATTATATAAAATAGAGGAAGTTTAATATTAACCGTTTAATGAAGTTGGTTATATACTTTACTGAGTGGAAGTATCTGTAAGGAAAAAAAGTGACGGGGTTACTACAATTAGAGAAAATCTCTATAAGCTCCTGGACACTTCCTCTGTCTAAGAGGGAGCAGTTGAGAATCATTGCTGTCCCGAGTCAGCCCAGCCTATAACTGCGAGTGGCCTTCTAACTACCTGATGGTCACCATCTCTCAGCCTCCCTAAGGCGTCTTCTCGGAGGAGGAGGTGGTGACATGCCCAAGGAAGCGTGCGAAGCAAAGGGCAGGCCTGGGGTCTGCTCTCAGGCTCGTTGCCATCTGTGCATCTGCGGGCCCATCGCCTCATCACTCTGAGAGTCAGCTTCGTGGCTGGAGAAGTGGAGGCAGTTCTCTGAGCCAGCTGGCTTCACAGGGTTGTTGTGAAGAATTGTGTTTTAAATTAAATACAAAGGCTTGGTTTTAAGACTGCCGGCATCGGTGGCAGCTTTTTTGCTGCTTTTCTCCTCAAATGCTGTCTTACCCTCACCTCCACTCACATCCCTCACTTTTTCCAGCCTCCATTCAACTAGCTTGAAATACGACCATGTGGCAAATCCTCAGTTTTTCACCCCGTCCCACCCCAGACTCACTGGCCATCCACGTGTATTCTATCTTTCTCAGGACACCATAAGCAACGCCCGCAATGGGAGGATGGGCCTGATACCCTGCTTTCCAATCCTGGGAAAGTATTTGAATATTTCCTTTTAAGTCAAATAACTCCTAAAAGAATAAAGGCACTCTCTATGCATATATTTAGACTAAGTTCTGAATATGAGAGCTTCGTGCATGCTCACTCCCGTATGCTGGGTACCTCACATTCGCCCTCCTGAAGCCTCACTGCCTGCCGTGGAGTCGTGCTCACTTCACCATGCAGGGCGGGATCCCAGGCTCAGAGAGTGCAGGGAATTTGTTTACAGTCACAAACCTAGGAAGCAAATCAGGCAGGATTTTAACCTTGTCACCTTAGGAATAATACAGTTTTCTTTTCTCTCTGTTATATACTGTTGTATGCAAGCCAACAGTTGCTTAAAAAATTGGAGATCGAAGATTCCTTTGATAACATGAAGAAAGTTACCTCTTTCCAGAAGAGAAAAGAAAGTCATGTGACATTAGCAATTTGCGTGCATAATATCTATGGGCACATTAATCTCTTGAAGTCCATCCATATTTTAAGAATTAAGGAATCCCCGTTTAAGGGATGAGTACAACCATTCAGAAATTGGTTACTATATAATGCTTTTTCTTCAGCCCAGAAATCCTTCAACTTCTCTTTATTGTAAACGCTATCCAGTGTTCTTCAAGCATTTTATAAACCCACAACCAGTGAGTGTCTACTGCAAGGGAACTGCAGAGGGAGAAATCCCAATGATAAACATATTAATAAAAGCATGCCTCGGGATGGCTTGCTTAGCTAGAGATAAAGAAACTGGGAGTATATATTATGAAGAGAAAATTTAGACAATCCCAGGCAAAAGGAAACAGTATTGGTTTCTGTTGTCTTTGAAGAAGCTATAAGGAAGCAATTTCAACTTGAGCAGTGCCCAAAGGCAAAATGAACTGCCTTGTTAAACCATGAATTTCCCATGAATTTTCCCACTTGTTCACCAGAGGCAAACAAGTTTGATATATAAGATTTCTTAAGAGGCATTAAAATTCATATCTTTTAACAGTCTTTCCAATTATAAAATTCAGACTATCTGATTGGGTCTTGTTATGTTTTATAAAATATACTTATATATATGGAATCTATAGTCTATATATATTTTATATGTTTATACAAATATATTTAAATGAGATATATTTTACAATCCCCAAATCACATTATCGGTACTCAAGAAAGTCTAATTTCTCTCTGGGGTCCCATTTCCCCACCTGTAAAATAATGCCTTTTGGACTAGATGATCTCCAAGTGTATTTCCAACATTCGACAATTCTGAGTATGTAGGCAGATGAAATGTTACCGAACAGATCCAGGGCTGGGACACAAAGCTGGAGCTAAATGAGGAGAGAGAAACCAAACGTGGATGATGCCAACTTGGAAAGAGTTGGATGCAGACCCCAGGCCCTACCCGTCATTTCAGTTCTGGTTTGATGCCCACCTCTCGCCCACATCAACCCTTGCTTTCTTTCCCTGTCTTTGACAATGACTCTGTTCTGTTCTAGAATTCGCCAGACCAACACGCGCATCCGCAGCAAGGGGCCATGCGAGAGCAGCACCCCGGACACGCCGCCTGGCCGCGGGCCCTCACCTGTAAGTACACCGCGGCCTGTCGCGGTGCCCCGGCCGGTTGGTGAAGATAACTAGGTAACTGCTGAAATATTCGAGAAGACTCGAATATTAGTGTGTTAAAATGTTGACTGGAATCCTTAACAGGTTATTTTAGGAGCAATGTCCCTAACAACAGTTTCACAGAGCAGGTTTTCTTTCTGTGGTCTACAATAAAAAATGAGACAGGCACCAAGAGGTCAGAGAGCAACAGGACTGGACTGAAATCATCTCTGTCAACCCCATATTCTTGCATTTTACATTGTATTAAATGTTCTTCCCAAATGAAAAGCTAACTTTTTCATTTAAATTCCTACAAGGATGTTTTGACACACATTATTGAGTTTGACATTCTCCCTGGTGATTTCACTTGAGGACTCTTCTCTTTTAGCAAGATGACATGTAACTTGGGCTTAGGGGGAAGAAAACTGGGAATATTTACATAAAAGAAAGTTTTTGTTACCAGATAAATATGGGCTCGAGTTCCAGTTTTGGATGTTTTTCATATATGAGACCTTTGGCAAATCACATAAATATCTAAACCAGCGATCTTCAACTGGTGTGCCACAAGAATTGTTAAAACATGGAATACCTGACTATTTAGTCAGGGGCACTGACCTCTTATCCCTTAGGTTGTCAAATTGAAAAATGGCAACAGCCAACACAACAATGGCCGTCCACTGTGATTATAATGAAAATTATACCTATTTTTTGGTCAGATCAGCAAAAAATATATTTTTTGGTGTGCTGCAGAATTTTAGTAATTAGTTTATGTGTGCCACGAGATGAAAAAGATTGAAAATTGCTGATCTAAACTAAAGATCTTCCTGAGTTACTGAAAGTATTCAAGAAATACTGACTTTTAAGCCTTTGGCACGATGTTGAAAAATTAATGGTGTTTATTATTATCATCACTATTATTATGATGCCTAACAGACCAAAGTATGAACTTAGGGAAACAGACCATGGCACAGTGCTTATTTTTAATCATTTTAATGAATTCTATCTTAATAAATTTATATTTGATATTCACAAATATATTTGATTAAAGCAAACAATAGGTAATGAATAAATAACTATTTATTATTACCCACATTATTATTTTACTGCTTTCCACTGCCAGCTTTGGCAATAATGGAACTGGAAACTATTCGGCCAGCTTTGAGGATCTTAAGTAACCATACGTGGGGACCATACTCAAAAGAACTACACAGTGATTCTTGATATGGGAAACTGGAAAAACAGGAGCTCTAAGCCTGCTGTTTCTGGTTCCACACTAATGTCTGGAAGGCAGGTAGAGTAGGCAGAGCAAGGGATGAAATCAGGAAGTTTTCAGTTCTTTCTCATGAGCTTAGAAAAGTCATCTATCTACCTGGGTCTTTACATGTCTGTAAAGAGAGGGTTTAAATATTTGCTCTGGTCCCTGTATTGCGTTTGCTCTCTTATTACATATAAACTCTTATGATTTGCTCCACATTTTATTGATGGAACATACTGTCCCCTCATCTCACAAACACACTTGGCCGTGTATATCCCAGAGGAGGAAGGGAAAACGAATCGTTAAGCAGGTTTTATAGACCGTACCTTCGAGCACACCTTGTTGTAATCTCATTTAGACAGCGGGACAAAAACTGCTTTAGGGGGAAGTCGCCTTGAGATAATACTGATAAGATGTATTTATTCAAATAACGAAGAATCTAAGCACTAAAAGTTCGTAAGGGAGTTCCTTCCTTTCAATTTTGGGCGTATTCTTTCCAGTAGAGTTGTATATCAGGCATTATTAATGATAGGAATTATTTACGGTATTAGCTGATGGAACAAGTCTTTAGAACAAAAGGTGTCCTGGGCATGGTTTTGGTTCCGTCTGCACAATTCAGCCCTGTGATCTTGGAATCCCCAGGGTGGTATGGGTTGGTCATGGCTCAGCATTGCTCTGGTAACTATTCTGGCTTCATATCCAGGAGGCTGGAACACATTGCCTGACCATTTTCCTGGATAGAAGATTCTCTAAGAGAGTCTGGACTCCCAAGAATGGAATAAAAGGCCAGGAAGTCACAACTTCCCTGGAAAAAAGAGGTTGAGGATCCTGGAACCCATACTTTTGCTTACTGTCTAAGAAGGACTTTCTATTCCACAGTAACTGCTAAGATTAATGTAACCCTGTAGAGTTTCATGTGCTCTTTCCTTTTGCACCCTCACAATAGTCCTGTAATTAGGGCAGGAATTAATATCTTTCCCATTTTACAGAAAATCATCCTGGAAGAGATCCCGTGATTTATGGGTTATTCAGTATTACATCTTGGGTTCAATGTAGATCTTCTGACTTTATTTCTTATGTTCTGCCACCGTCCCTTAGGTGTCAGGAGACTCTGAAAACCTGGGACTCTGGAGAAGGCATTATCGCAATTTAATAAAAATTAGCTACTTTGGAAGGAAATTCCTATGTTAAGGAAAATACCAATGCTATTTTGTGTGGTGAATAAATGATGAGTCTTAATTTAATGACAAAGATTTTCAAGGACTTCACAAGACCATAGCTGTCGCTCTCAAACCAAAGGAAATCTCACAATTTTAATTTCAACGTGAAAGCTGAAATGGAAGTTTGAGTTTGGAATGATAGTGCTCCAGGAATCCAGGTGGTAGTTATATGGGATAAAACTTCCTGAGGCACTTGCCCACTTTAAAAAAAATTTAAGTGTTGATTTAATGTCGTAAATGTTGATTTAAAGAGTATATGAAAACTGAATGCGTCAGGGAAGAGGGCTGATTATATTCTCAGGGCCTAAGACAAACTCTAAGAGTAAAGCATGAGTGTTAGAGGGATTGGATTTAAGACCTGACCAAATGTGAGGCCTTGGCAAGTCACTAAACTTCTCTGAAGCTGTTTGGTCCATCCTCTGCGAAATGTTAATAGCACCTATCTCTTTGCATGGGGGCCACATGTAATCGAGAGCAGAGTTCATTTTTGTATCTACCTCAACAGGTAGTACATACTAGGTGCTCAATAAAGGCTCATTGAATCAATTGAATAAAATGTGTGCGTGATTTTAAATTGTGAGTCCTTGGCAGAGCGCAGGAATCTATGGATTTGATTATGGTACAGCTATCAATGTATAACTCACATTTCTACAACGTCTCTGAATTTCTACCATCTAACCTACTCAACTTCTCTTCTAGGCCAAATGATGCCAGGATTGGTGAAAGCCACGAAGAACAATGTGTATCCTGATTCTGAACTGCCTACCTTCACCATCTGTATATACAGAGAATTCTTTGGAGCTCGTCTTATTTACTGTAGAAAACCATAGAGAGCTGTTGGGGGAATGGACTCGCTGACTTTCAGTCTTCTCCATATCTTTCCTCCTAGGTCCTGTGATCAGTGGACACGGGGACATCCCCACCCAGTCTGTGCCCTGCAGACTTCCTGATCACAACGCTGTCTGTCCGATTACTTGTTCAATAAAAGTAAACCCAGCAGAACACCCTTTCTGGGAAATTGTTTTTTACAGAAGTTGAATGAATAAACTACCCTTTTGTCTGGCTAAGCCCATTGGTGGACACAAAGCGCTCACTTTTTTCTGATCCTAGTTGCTGTCACAGTTGGGAACAGAGGTGGGGAGATTTGGACTCCCAGGCAGCCAACAGCTACATAAAGCCAACCAGCTATGAATCAACTTCACCTTCACCAGCTCCCCTACCTAGCACCTCTATTTCCGTGAATGGTATAACTACCTCTCAGTGAACAGGCTTCATTCAGTGACACAAACCAATAATGTTACACATTTAATCATGTTACCTCTTGACAATGGATGTCTACAGCAGGGCCTTGGTATCAAATTCTGGGAGAAGGCTGAAGAAGTAGAGTTCCCAGTGTGTGTAAGTCTCTAGAGCAGCACTGCCCAATAGAAATATAACGGGAGTCACATATATAATTTCAAATGTTCTCATAGCTGTAAAACAAATGGGTAAAATTAATTTTAATATATTTTCTTTAACCCAAAATATCAAAACTATTATTTCAAAATGTAATCAATGTAAACCGTCTTTAACTAAATCTTCGATATGGGTATCTATTTTATACTTCCAGCACATCTCAATTTGGACCAGCCACACTCCAGGTGCTCAATAGTGACACGCGGCTAGAGGCCACTGAGCTAGACAGTGCTAAAGCACATGAGGAATCTATCAGGAAATGGAAACTTTAGATAAGGGTGGGATGGAACAGCCAGTCACTCTGTCACGCTCAGAATCTTGCTACTGTTGTCCTGTGACAGTACCAGGTGCTCACTTTTAGGTTCTGGGCAGGAGCTGAACATACTCTAAGGGAGAAAGCCTGTGGAGCATCCATCGTGGCTCAGTTTGTTCTCAGCTACAGAGGAACTGTGCCAGGATGGCAGGCCTGCTGGGATTAGAGGAGCTAATTTTGCATTTTTCCCTCTGCCCTTTTTAGTTTAAATTGTCACTAGGCTAATCATAGTAGGATCTGGTGGCCTTTGTCCTTTGTAACTGGGTTGAAATAAGTCAGTTTCTATGCTCCCCCCCCACCCCTTTGTTGTCATTAAGAAAAAAGAAAGGAAGAAGGCATGTAAATCATTTTTTGAACTTGAAAATTTCAGAAAATAGTGAGAAAACAATGTTGCTGTTTTTAAATTTTTTTTTTAAATTCTAAGATGTACAGTATGGGTTTAGAGACTCTATAACATGTGAGACTTGACCTCCTTCCTGTATCTCTTTTTTTATAAGAAACCCAGAAACTCTATTTTCATGGCCAAGACATACTATTTTTTGAGATGCAGTTGCTTTGTTATGTCATTTTGAACATGTTATTGGTATATAAACAATAAACCCTCTATTCTTTTATGAGGATGATTGATGATGATGATGAATATTAGATAATATACACAAAGACTTTGTTATCTCACCCTCAAGACTTAACCAATCTTTGATAATCATTTTGAGCACTAGGGAAAAAGTGTGGCTTAATGACAGGGTGTGGAGGGTAGGGTCTGGAGGGGAATAATATATGGGATGGAGAAAGGCCGAGGGACCCGGTCAAGGTCAGGGTGAAGCGGGGGTTAGGGTGCAGAGGTCACGAATGAAATGAGGACCAGGGGAAATAGAGAAGAGAGTGGACTTAGGAGCAAGGTTCAGAGATAAGGGTGTGCGTGTATTGAACACATTATTTTAAAAAGCTGAAAGTTGATTTTTTTTTTGAGACTCAAACTAGAGGTGAATATAAAATGTCAGTGTCAAAATGGTCACAACAAAATAACTGCATTAAATATCAAGTACATTTCTGAGTTCCTTCTAGAGTTATAGCCTCACGAATGGGAAGCAAATAAAAACCAGACCCAGCTCACTGAGGTTTCGGAAACAAGCCCTAAAATTCTACACCAGGGAGTGACCAATGACCCTGGGATGGAACTAAAGAAAGCAAAGCTATTTCGATCACCTCTTCCTGGTCGCTACCACAGGTTATGCATTTCTCTATAACTAATATTTCAGGATTCATTTTTAGAATATGGGTTTTCATAGATCTACCACTGTCAGACTTAGTTTCTCATGTAAGGAGCTCACCTGAATCTTCCTCTCACACAAGTCTTAGGAAAGCATTTGTCTAGACTATGGGTGGACAAACTTCTTCTGTGAAGAGCCAGATAGAAAATGTTTTAGTGGGACATTTAACCTCTGTCACAATCACTCTATGCTGCTGTTGTGCAAAGAAATGAATTCACATTATGTACATAAATATGCATGGGGGTGTCCCAATTAGACTATACTTACAACACTAGGTGGCGGGCCCAGTATGACCTGTGGGCTGTGAACCCATAAGGGGTAGGAGTCTGCCTCCTCTCCTTCTTGTTTGTATCTCCATTGTCTTTTCACTCCCTTCTATACTGTTAAATGCCAACCACACTTTTCATCCTACGATAAAGATAAGAAATAATAAATGTTGACATTTCTAAATACTTAATGTGTGCTTGAAATGGAGAAAAGCAGTTGGCAAGACTCACATTTGTACCCCAGTTCAATACTCTTTCTGACCTTCCTGGTTGACTTTGACCAAGGCCAGCCTTGCATATTACACTTAGATCGTGGTAAATGAAGTGAGTGTGTGCTTAAATAACACTCGCTGTGGCCTTTACCAATGACGGATGATCTCTGTTTCCCAAATAGACAAAAGCATAACAAGGCATCTTGTTTTTACCCCTGACACCACCTTGGCATACCGATAGAGCCCTTTTCCTTTCCAGTATTGAAATGAGAGTGCCATCTCGATAATATGTGACTGTAAATCATCCTTCAAGCATGAAGAGGGAACAGAGAAGAAGCTTTGTCCATTGAAGATCCATCTCAGGAAAACAAATCAAAACATTTGTCATCCTCCTTGGAATTTTTATTTGGCCTAGAGGTCCTTCTGGGTTACTCAGATGTTCTGCCTTCCATCAGGCCAAGCTGTTACAGTACTTGGAAATAGGTTTCAAGCCTGTGGAGATCTTGCATTTTAGCTTGCTTTTCTTTGGAATTTAGGCTCTTTTTCTCTTCCATGGCCTAACAGACTTGATTGTCTCCATCCTTTATAGTTATTTTTCTTGTTGAATCTCCAACTGATCTCTTCAAAACACAGATCTTCTCATTCCCCAATTTAGACTTCTGGAAAATTCCTACAAGGCAGCTGCACTGTACTAGAGCAAAGCCAAATGGGACAAACCTGGAATCCAGGCATTGTTTCCCCCGCTTTTTTATCCCCCATAGAGTTAATCACCAAATCTGATAAACTTTTGCTCCAGGTCATCATCGCCCTTTCATGAATGACCACATCAGCCTTACAAACGATCCTGATTCAGCCTTGGCCCTTCCAGTGCATCCTCCACTCTAGGCAGAGTAATGATCTGAAATCCGGATTTGATGGTATCATATTTAGACCCTAAGGTACTTCTCTAGCTCAACCCCAAACTCCTGCTGACATGTGAGGCTTCTGCTCACCTCTTCAGCTTCAGCTCTTGCATTGCCTGAATAATTATCTTGAACTTGTTCTTACATGTCTCCTTTTTCTAACATAACATCTTTATCCACCAATGGTCCTTCTTCCATTTCTCCTTCTATTTCACAAGGTCCATTTCTCCAAACTTTAGACTAATTTGTCCTCACTTCAGTCAAGGTGCAGCTAGTCTTTGGAAACTTTCTATAACTTTTTTCCCCCCTCAGAATGTGAATTAGTTATTCCTTTGATATGGTCCTGTAACATCCTGTCCTTACACCTATATTACCAGCTGTTACTGTTTTTAATTGCCTATTTACAAGTCCATCTCTCTCACTGAACTATGACTTTTTTAAGCAAAGAGACAGTTTAATATTCTTGTTTATATCCCTAGTGCCTAGTGCANTATTTACAAGTCCATCTCTCTCACTGAACTATGACTTTTTTAAGCAAAGAGACAGTTTATATCCCTAGTGCCTAGTGCAATCCCTGGCATGGAGCACCTACTTATTAAAAGTTGTTGCATGAACAAGACCCTTAAGGTAAGAATTTTAAAAGGAAATTTAGGATATTCTCAGTTCTGGCCTATGACATAAAACCTACAAGAATAGGGGAGGATCATTATTTTTCAAAGAATTTAGAGATATCTGCCTTCCCCCTCCCCCCCCCAGTACAAATTAAAAATTGCTGAGCCAGTGTGGCTCAGTTGGTTGGAAATAGTCCTAAGCACCGAAAGGTTGTCAGTTCGATTCCCAGTTAGGGCACGTGCCTAGGTTGCCACTCAATCCCTGATCCCTGATAGGGGGCATGTAGGAGGCAGCTGATCCAAATTTCACTCTCACATTGATGTTTCTCTCTTTCTCTCTCCCTTTATCTCTCTCTAAAAAAATAAAATAAAATAAAATTTTTCTAAAAATTGCTGGCACCAGTGGTTGGAAACAACCTAGTTACATGAATATATACACATAAAATGTACCCTCCCACCCTCAGGAAGGTTAGATTCATGAGGTGCTTCTCAGAAATATTAGCAAAAGCTTATCAACTAAAATATGGTATGTAGAGATAAAGACAATCTCAATCAGGAAAAGATTATTTTTTAGGATGGCAAAATCCTAGACTGACAGAGCTGGAAGAAAATTAAAGATGATAAATACAGCATATTTAATAGAGGGGAATCCTGAAGCCAAGAGAGGGAAAATAATTCTCTGAGCTTACCCAAAATGAGTATAAATCAGAAATACAAATTCAAGTACGTGGCTTTTAAGCTCATGTTCCTTACACCAGTCTCTCTGGCATTATGAGCCCCAGTTCTATGCCCTTCATGCAAATAATATTATCTATCTGATTATGTCTTTGGACAAAAGGAATGGATTTTATATTCAGTGATCCTAGAAAAGTGCCCATTATCTACAGAAATGGTCACTTCTGTTCATTTGTGGAATTCTTCAATTCCAAATCGATGCAACACGTGGCAGGATGACAGTTCACCTGCCAAGTTTGTAAGCAAATAGTAATGGGATTAATGAAAAGTGAATTCTAACACCTTGACTTACACAAAAGGAGTCCTGGGATCAGTGATAAAATGAAATGTCATCAGTTTATTATATTCTTATCTCTGCATCCATTTTGTTCCTTAAACGTTAAGTAAGAAAGTTGACAGAACTGTTGCCAAGGCCTCTAAAAATGAGTTATTGACAAGTTGTGTCCACAAAGGATATTTGCCTAAATCCGGGCCTTGCAGGACAGACAGTGATGACTCAGGCAGGAAACGCCACGCCCCTCCCCACCCAGAGGCCTTCACTTGCACCCCGGAGGGTGCAGGCAGAGGTGTTGGATGAGCCCAGTTTTAAGTGCCCGCTGAAGGATTTCTGGTGGAGCCGCTTAACCCCAGCTTAGCATGGACCTGGAAGCACAAAATAAGATTCTAAAGAATAATGAAATTTTGACGGTCATTTGAATGTCAATATTTCAAACAAGAAATAATAACACAGCATCAACAATGCAAGCAGCACTGAAAAGCTATTAGCTAGTCTTTCTTACCTTTCCTTCTCTGCATCACAAAACTGGCCGATAAAAAGTATATCATTTTCCTTAAAGGATGTTTGAGTTAAACTGAACAAAAGTACAAATTATAGGCAAGAAATTATACTTTGCAGCTTGAATACTTTAGGAAATAAACAAAACGGAAGGAATAAAATTTTCAAGAAAAATGAAAGGGACTGAGCTCTAATACTGACCAAGACTGCTGCTTGACCACATCCTGAAAAGGCAGAAGGCTGCTGAGTGTGACTACAGAAGTGTCTCGGAAACCCTAGGTTCAGGGGTTCTCAGTCTCAGAAGCTGCCCTGTCCCATGTGTGGCGCAGAATCAGGGAGCAACCCCGTGCAGGGGGCCGTTTCTGGCCGGTTTGGACCATCACGATGCAGGCAGCAGCCAAGGCTGCCGGGACCAGGGGGCCTGCTCTCACTTTCCGAGCACTGATTAAGCATCTTAGATCCTCATAAACTTCAATAATGAGTGGGACAAAATCTCCTCAAATCCAGGCAGAATGGAAGGCTCAGAATTGAATGTAATTTTATTTAGAGACAAAGGGAGTAGATAATTTTGTACATCTACATCTGTTGATCAAAACTCATACCTACTATGTGTGGGACCATACTGGGGATTGTTAGGGGTTCATGGCAATACATACCCACATCAAGGGCTGGCTGCCCTAGAATCAGGGCCAATCGATTTGTTTTGAAACAAAACCCTTGAGCCTGCTAAGCAACTGGGAATAGAAATGGGTGTGGCTCCTTTGAAGTGACTTTTAATTTGGGCAACGTATGGTGTTGATGCTGGGTTCAACATAATTCTATATACTGTTTTTAAATCCTTAGTTACTTGGTAGAGGACAAGAGGAAGAAAGAAAAATGAAGCCTTATTAGAATTTATTGATGGTTAATTTCTCTGGTATATCTATGAGAACTTCCAAAACGGGAGGAACATGGGAAATTAGATTTCTAGGCCATTATTCTTGAACTGTGAATTAAATAAAAAAGAAAATAACATTTTAAAACTTATATTTTTCCTGGAGAGGAAGGCACATGCAAATTAAAACCTAGCTGGTGAGAGATTAGATGTGGATGTGAATATTAGAGAGGAATGAAGACTCCTAAATTTTCCTGGATTGGGTTACTACTGACAAATCTTAGTAGAGTGAAACTGAAGGGAAGCCATTGAAAATGGGATTTGGCATGAAGGTTTTTGGGGAACATGTTGATCTTGAAGATGCTATGAGATATCCAGAAGGTGATGTTGAATAAAGAGTGGAGAACTGAGTCTAGGACCCAGGTGGCAGATCCTCCCTCACCTTCTTTGGGAAAGTAAGTAGAGGCAGAAATCCCATGTTGACACAATATTGGGTGGCGGTGTGAGAAAGTATGACAAAGCAGGAAGACTCTTACACCATATTCAGGGGATCTGATTCATTGAGTGGTCTCACTTCTTCTTTTTATTTTATTTTATTATTTTATTTTATTTGAGTCTAGTTCAGAAGTTCTCAAATGAATTTATATGGAACCATGAGGTGTGTGGAGAAAATACAGGTATTCATGAGTCCTGTCTTGCTTCTACTTCAGTTACTCTTTTAAAAACATGTTTCATTTATTACTGGCCTCATAAAATTACATTTGGGAGGAAAAACATGTTCCATTTCTTCATTAAAGAGCAACAATGAAAAGTTTGAAAACCACAGACCCAGATGCTTGTTCAGGGCCCTCCAGCTCTAACGTCTTCTGAGCCATTGCTCTTATTTCTGTCTACTTAGAACGTGGTCAGCCCCCTGAGATGCTTCGCTATAACTTGGGCAGATCACTTATCCCATTTAGAAAAGTTTCTGGAGAGCTTTATGCATATTTCAAACATTGATGAAGCACTGAAATATGGGTGAGGTATATGTAGTCAAATTTCACAATGGCATAAACTGAGATCAGACAACTTTACCCGAGGGAAAGAGGTGGTATAGGAAGATGAATAGCACGAATGAGAGAGGCACGCCTTAAAAAACTGAAAACGAATGCAGTGAGTTACTGCAAGATCATAAGTTCTGAAATTAGATGATTTAGTTTCGGTCAGCATTCTGTCACTCAGTAGCTGTCTGCTTTGGGAATTTGCTTAACTCCTCCAGTCTTTGAGTTCCACCTTTGTGAATTTACCCTATCTTAGCTCTGTCTTCTGAAAGCCGATGTGAGGACCACGTGAGATCATAGGGATGCAGGGCTAAGCCCTGAAAAATCACTGGGCCTCACTGTAGAGGAGAACATATTTGCCAACGACACATCTGATAAAGGGTTAATATCCAAAATATATAAGGAACTTATACAACTTAACAAAAGGAAGGAAGACAAACAATCCAATTAAAAAATGGGCAAAGGACCTGAATAGACACTTCTCCAAAGAGGACACACAGATGGCCAAGAGACATATGAAAAAATGCTCAGCATCACTAATCATCAGAGATGCAAATTAAAACCACAATGAGGTATCACCTTACACCTGTCAGAATGGCTCCATCAATAAGTCAACAAACAAGTGCTGGCGAGGGTGTGGAGAAAGGGGAGACTGTGCACTGCTGGGGGGAGCGCAGACTGGGGCAGCCACTGTGGAAAACAGTATGGAGGTTCCTCAAAAAATTAAAAAGTGAACTATCATTTGACCCAGGTATCCCACTTATAGGAATGTATCTTAAGGAAGCCGAAACACTCATCAGAAAGAACTTACGCACCCCGATGTTCATAGCAGCGCAGTTTACAACAGCCAAGATCTGGAAACAGCCCAAGTGCCCACCAATAGATGAGTGGATAAAAAGCTGAGGGGCATTCACACCATGGAATACTACGCAGCTATAAAGAAGAAGGATCTTACCCTTTGGGACAGCATGGAGGGACCTGGAGAGTATTATGCTAAGTGAAATAAGCCAGTCAGAGAAAGACAAACATCACATGATCTCACTCATATGTGAAATCTAATGAACAAAATAAACTGATGAACAAAATAGATCCAGAGACATAGAAGCATGGAACAGACTGAGGGATCAGAGGGAAGGTGGGAATGGGGGAGTGGGTGGGGAGAGATTAATCAAAGAACTAATATGTTTATAAGCATAATCTATGGACACAGACATTGGTATGGGGAGGCCTGGGGGTGGAGTGGATGTGGGGTGGAGGGGATCAATGGGGGAGAAAAGGGGACATCTGTAATACTTTCAACAATAAAGATTAAAAATAAAAATAAAAAAAATTTTAAAAAGGCTAAAGGAAAAATATGAGGGGCAAAAAAAAATCACTGGGCCTGTATAATTGAAAAAATATTGGTTATGTGGATAGACAGAAATACATATATATATTTAGGTATATATATATTTACATATAAATATATATATATACACACATACAGGGAATTGGTTAAACAGAATATCATGGCTATAATCTTAAGAGGCATGAGGCAGAATGCTAAAATCAGAATTTTCATTATAAATATCCATTTTAGTTATTGAAGCGACATATCTTAATAAAGGCAAAAATATTTTAGGAGAGAAGTTAGGGCCTAGGATTTTGTAAAACTAGCTCTCCTGACCATGAACTATGTGACTAAACAGAATACCCTTAATCTTTCTGAGTTTGTTGTCCCATCTGCTAAGTAGCAATAATACTGGTCTGCAGAATTCACCAGTTTGTTTTAATCATTTAACAAACCTTCATAGAACATTGCAGTCCCTTCATACTCTAGAAAAGCAAGGTGCTCCAGTGCGAACTATTCATGTCGTCTGCTACTATGCATTTCAAAGAAATGCCCTCGTTGCTTTTACTTCCTATTTCAACTTTCCTACGCTTATTCTAACCTCTAAACTTTTTTCATTTAAGTATAATTGTTATACAATAGTGTATTAGTTATATTGTTTTCAGCTGTACAACACAGTGATTGGACAATTTTATACCTTACAGTGTGATCACCTCACTAATTCCAGTAGTCATTCGCCACCGGGCAAACTTACACCCTTTACATGGGTGATTTCAATTTTTATTTCTCCTTACTACACCTATGATTTATTTGTTCTCAAATAAAGCCATACCATTGTATTTGCTGAGAAATTAAAGGATTATTACGCAAAACGTCCCGCGGTAGACGAGTTTCAGGGCGTACCTGTTCCAACTGTCTGTAAATCAAGATAATAAGGAAGCTTTCCTTGACAAATGAGAAACTGCCCTAGCTTGGGTACACAGCCAATCATCACTGAAAAGGTCAGTTTCTAACGAGGGTGGGCCCCTGCCTTGCGTATGTATACATGCACTATATATACCCGTGGGTGCCAGGCAGGCTTTTCACTCTCTCTCTGGACCTGTCGCCTCTAAGCAGCATTTCTGCAGCACTCCCGTTCATCCACGATGAAGGCCATCACTGTCTTTGCCATTCTTGCTCTAGCAGCCACAGCTTGGGCTACCTCTCCACCTGGTGAGTTAAGATTCCTTTTAAATACTCACGCCTTTATGTTAACTGCAATATATTCAGCCCTTAGTAACAGGAGGATGCTAAAGTCAGAAGAAAATTTAGAAAGTATCTATTTGGGTTGGTCTGGTTAACACAGTGGGGGCGGGTCAGGCCTTCAGGAAGAGGGAGAGAGAGAGAGACGTGGAAGATTTAAAGGACTGTAGGCTCTTCACTCAGCTCCCGACCAGGAGGCCTCAGGACTCTGACTTGCCCTTCCAGAAACCTCTCATGCACCTGGGAGGGCAAGCCCACAGGAACTCTTGGAGACCTGGGACAGGCCTTCCTCCAACGACCACAGCTTTCCCCGTGTGTTTTCCCCAGAGATCACATCCATCTCTGTCTCTACCCCGAGTTGGCCCTGAGGAAAGAGGTGGCCGCTCTTAGGTCTGGCCTGGGTAAGGGGTTTGGGAAATGGTTTTAGTCGCTGTGAGCAATGAATCCAGTTGTGCATTTCTAACCATGGGCTTTGCTTTCTCCGATTCCTTCTCTCCAATTCCATCTCATCCCACTCTTCGGTGATCAAGCAATCGGGACACAGGTGAGTGCAACCTTCTCCGTGTGGCTTTTGTAGAAATGAGAGCAGAGCTCCTGTGTAAATGAGCTGGGGACGTAGTTAAACTGGCTCACAGTTGACAGGAATGACTCCTCAGGGGTAATACTGTTCCTACTCTTTTCCTCCCAGTGGAGTTGCTTTCTTTAAATGTTGCAGAAGGAATCTCCTTGCACAAGGAGGGCAGCAAATAAAGTAAATTTTATCTTTGGGTAGCATTCTAAACTTTTCTGATTACTTTCCACCTCACTATTCCTTTGGACCTGCATTATAACCCTAAAAGGAGGAATTAGTATTTCCTTCTTAAACAGCCAATTATTTGTGGGGTTTTTTATTCTTGTATGTGCCCTGACCAGGGATCGAACCCTCGACCTTTGTATCAGGATGCTGCTTTAACCAACTGAGCTACCTGGCCAGAGCTTAAACAGTCAATTCTTGCTTTACTTAAGGAATGTTGTAGGTCTCATCAGGTTTTGTAGCACAGCGCCTGGTCCAATAGAAAATCTTCTAGACGTGTTTGCTGAAAAGCTGAAGAGGCTAGGACTCTTTCCACTCTCTTCTTACCGTTTTGATATAAGAATGACTACAGAATGGAGGAAAAGAGAATGTAGGACGGGCCGGGCGTGGCTCAGCAGTTGAGCGTCGACCTAGGATCCTAAGTGATCGGGGTTCGGTTCCCGGTCAGGGCACATGCCCGGGTTGCGGGCTCGATCAACGACTCTCTCATCATTGATGTTTCTCTCTCTCTCCCTCTCATTTCCTCTCTCTGAAATCAATAAAGATATATTTAAAAAAAAAAAAAAAAAGAATGTAGGGCATTATTTTTCTTTCAATTACAGGTGGATTGCTCCAAATACATGGGTAAAGGCTCCAGGTTGGCATGCTCAAGGGAGTTTAAACCAATATGTGGCATAGATCAGAAAGTTTACAGCAATGAGTGCATGTATTGCATGCTAAAAGAGTAAGTATGGTCTTCAATTTGGAGCCCCTCACCCGCCCCTCCCTGAAAGATAACAAAGTCCACATTGGCCAAAATCTGCTAGGTGTTTAAAAACACGGTCTGCAAAATCCTACCTTTTGTTAATACTCTTTGGGCATTGCTTTATTAAAATAAAAAATTAGCTATATCTCTAAGGTGATATATATATATATATTTATATGGCTATCCAGTCAAATTCTCACTCATTTTATACTGTATCTCTTGGACACTAGCTGCTACATACAGACATTTTTATTCCCACATTCCATTTAAGGAAACTGGGTCTAAGGCAGGACATGGATCTTGGTGAAAGTGACATGAATCTCCTGTTACATCATTCATGTTGCATAATAGGAACTCAGAAGGTAGCTCTCTCCGCTTGGGCTCTGAGCCATGGACACGTTATTACAAGATTTTGATCTATCTGTCATACCCCAGAGCAAATTCATGTTGCTTCTCATGGTTTCCTGGAAAAGTCTGGGGAAGAGAGGGAGAGTACACATGGGTAGTTGGAACCAGTGGAGTCCCCACTGCCACCAGCCCTACAAGTTAAATATTAACTCTTCACTAGAAACAACATTCTCAGCTTCTACGGGAATGAAAGAACGGTTATCACCACCCATTCCAGCAATTTGGATTCACTATTTTACGATTAGTTGTTAAAATCATGGACTTTGGAGTCAGACATCTGGATTAGAATCCAAACTGTGCTTAGTAGACCTGTGACCTGAGACAGACACCCAGTCCACTGCACACTTCAGTATTCTCACCTGCAAGGTAGAAATTAAAATAGTGTTTAGAATTCACTGTGATAAACGGTGTCAATCCTTAGCTAAGCAGCAGACACAGAGTGAACGCATAGAGACATGAGCTCTTCTCTCTTCTCATCATTTTCTGCCCTTTTCTGTCATTTTCTAGCCCTTCTGAAATACACAGTCAAGTGTAACAGCAATTGTCATTCAGAATAAAATCTCTAAGATATGCAAACTCATACATTACTAAAACCATAAGAGTTTAAAAACTGATGAGATCTTATGGATTATATTATCTCATATCCTCTTTTTAGAAGTCAGGAATCTAACTCAAAGAGGGGAAATAACTGTAACAAAATTACTCACACTATTAATGCCAAAGATGGCTTTGAGCATATTTCCTTTTACTTAACAGCAAAAATGCTTTCGCATTATATTTTCCCTTTGATTTTTATCTGAATATTCATGGACTATTTTTAAAAAAATGCCCAGTCTCCTTTTAGTGTTGATCTTATTTTCTTATGTTTTTATTTGTTTGCAAAATGATCATCCATCAAAGATATTAATGATCAATATTGGTCAACTGGAGTGGAATATTAACCAGAACTCGTTCTCTGTCCTGGTCAGACAACACAGAATGACATATGACTGTATTTTATTCTGTAGATTATGAAATATCAAGTAACTGCATTACCCATTTAAAATAAAATTTTCTCTTCCAGAGAAAATGGAATTCCACTCAGGAAACTTCATGATGGGAGATGTGTAAGTATATGCAGAAATTTTATTTATTCTTAATGTGAAATGTTACACTAATTCCTTATTTTCATATGGAAAAACTATTTTAAAATATGTCACTTAGAATTTTCCATGATCATGTATAGCCCTAGGTAAGACATCTGGTCAGACTAAACAGATGGCCTGAAGCACAGTTAATTTTTTTGCCCAGAGGAGATATTCAGAAACTTTCCTTAGAGCCTTTCATTGCGGGTTGGTATACTTGTGGTTATTTTCTAACACTGCAACTAACTGAGGAAAGGATTTCAAGGGAATTAGCATTTGAAGGTTACTCTCATAACAATAAAATTATTTTTTAAAAGTACAGAAAGTGTCAAGAGAAATACAGAGGCCATTCAGGGGTAAAGAGCTATATAAGTGGGATGCTATATAAGAGCTATATAATAGGATCTGAAACAATATAAGGGAACCGTTAACATGTAAAAGAGTTCATTTGAAGGAGGAGCGCCTAACCCGATTTGATGGGTGGGAGAGAGAAATGTCATCGTGAAGCTGTTGTAAAAGTAGCTGAGCACGCCTTAAAGGAGGAATCGGAGTTGGTTTGATGGAAAAAGCGAGTAAGGCCACGCAAGGCAGGGAAAACGCCGCACGCAAGGCACAGGGGCGCTCAGGAGCAGGAGCATTCAGCGAATTCCGTCCTTACACTGCCCAGCGAGGCAGGGCAGGTGAAACTGGAGAGATGCGCACGGGTCACAGGGGACTTTCTGTTGATGGGGAAATCAGTTAAGTATTCGAAAAACAAGACCTACTTTGGTTTATAAAAAAAAAAATCACTCTGGCATCAGTGTTGAGGGCGATTGAAATCTCAGATAAAGCATGGAGCCTGGGCAGTAAATTGGCAGATGATTGCAAATGTGTAGCCAAGACCTATCGAGGGCCTGAATAAAGTGAATGACAGTATGGCGAGGAGAGGACTAATCTGGAAATTAAGTACAAGACAGAAGCCACAGGATGTATTTGTCACTCAAGTGTAGACAATGAATGAGAGGGAAACCTAAACCCGAGCTGGGCTATCCCTTGCTGTGATCGTCCCACCATTGTTGGGTCAGATTACGTAAACTGCAGAGAATATGTCTTTTTGCATATGAGATTTTGGACTAACTAATCCCTCGAGGTTTTTAAAAAGTTTATTTTCTATGGTTTAATGATCTGAAATTGTTCTCTTTTTTTGCACACGGGCAGGTTGAATGCACCCATTATTCTGAAGCATGCACCATGGAATACATCCCTCACTGCGGATCTGATGGAGTCGTGTACGCCAACAAATGTCTGTTTTGCAACAGTGTTGTGTAAGTGCCGGATGCAATATCTTATTTGCAGAGAGAGCCTTTCTCACAGGGCTGGAAACCATCTTGGCTGCTGCAGAAGCTGGATGCTGTTAGGAAGCATGACAGTGATAATCATAATATTTTATAGCAAGAAGTAGGAAGAGGGAAAGAGAGAGAGGAAGAGAGAAAGAAAGTAGTCAGTGGGGAGAAATGGAAGCTAGGAAAACGAGACTTATTACAGTATTTTTAAGTGGCAGATAAAAGAGAAATTTAAGACTTTTTGGCTCTTCACACTGGCTTTTACTAGCGTAGTGAATTTTTTCTTATCCACCTTGCTGAAGCTTAGTGGTTAATTGCTGATCTTTCATGCTGTGTGCTCACTTGACTGGTTTGATCTAAAAATATGAAACTTTTAACTTAAGATGTCTCCAAAGCCTTTCTTTTAAAAACTGATTTCTTTTGTAGGAAGAGCCGTGGTCAACTTTATTTGGCAAACTATGGATCATGCTGAATCTCCCCCAATGCTCAAGGGCACCAAGTTTCCTTTAGCAGACTCCACACAGAGAACTGGTTTCCCTGGGGCACTGTGGGGCAAACATATGGATTGGACCCTTCAATAAAAGAATCTTAGCAGAAAACTGGCTGGCTCGTCTCTGTGTATGTGGTTATTGTCCTAAGGAGAGTGGCTGTGGTCATTTTCCTGAACTGTAAGCCACATGGAAGTATTTTCTCTATCCCTACTGAAGCTGGGGCCTAAAGAGGTGATACACATACTGGTGAGCGATGAACATGCTCGTCACATCCCACTTTAAAACAACTCAAAATTTTTAAGTAAATGTGTCAAAGGGTGAATCTGACCATTAGTCTTACATTATCTTTGGCTACACCAATGAAAAGTGAGAACTTCAGGTTTGGAGAAAGAGTGAGAACTCACAATGCTATAAACTATTTGGAACAGACCAGGAGTAACATGAATATCAAGACTTGATTAAATAAAAAAATAGAATTACATGTTGTGTTTGATATTTTTAGTCTAACATCAGCATCAGGTTTCATCTTACTTGTCAGTTATGTTTTGGTTGCTGCTGTGGATTGAATTATATATATATATATATACACTTAATAATATATACTTTAGGTGCCACCATTTAGAGAGGTCTGAGTCACATGGGTGTCTGCAAAAGAAGTCCTCATTGATCCTGTTGGGATTAAAAACAAAATGATCTGACTAAATGCTCTCTAAAGTCACTAAAAAGGCCTGAGGAAAATTCAAGGGAGTTGGGACAGATGAAGATACAGATAGAAATTTCTCTGGAGGCTTCTCTTTGGCTTGGAGAGGGCCATCTCGCTGCGCCTCACATGGGTTTCCCTTTATGCTCCTCTGTTTCCTAACCAGCTCATTTTATGAGACATCAGTCATACAGGATTAAGGCCCAACCAATGCCCACATTTAACCTTAATTACTTCTTTAAAGGTCCTAGCTGCAAAAATAGTCACATTCTGATGTACGGGGGAGGTCAGGATCTCAACATATTAATTTTAAGAAAGGGGCATAATTCAATCCACAGCAGCAACCAAAACAAAATTGACAAGTAAGGTGAAACCTGATGCTGATGTTAGACTAAAAATATCAAACACAACATGTAATTCTATTTTTTTATTTAATCAAATCTTGATATTCATGTTGTTAGATTTAATAACATGCATAGGGTATAAAGAAAGGAATTCATAATCACATAATGCTTTTTGTGGGCTTTAAAAGGGATCAAGTAAAAGGTAATATCAAGTAAAATACTTCCCAAGTCAAAAAAAAGTAAGCAAAATAAAGATAGAAATTATATGTTGATAAAATAATCAGTAGTAAAGATGTGGTGTCATTACATGAATAGAATGGTTACTATATATTTAGAAAAAGATTTTTTAAAATACTTGGAAAAATGTCTTCAGACAAAAATGGAGTTTATGTAAGTAAAGTCACTTTCTCAATTTATAGATTAAAAAACAAAATTATGTAAGTATTGCATAATTACATATATATTTAAAACATAAATTATATAAGTAAATCTACACTACAATTTATAATATAAATTCATATTTTTTATTTAAATATAGATATGTATGAATTATAATTGCAAATAGTCATCAGCTGAGATAACAAATCTAAAGAGAAAGAAAGGATCAATTTAGGCCACATTATTGAAATATAAAGCCATATATGCATAAGCCAAAAATTAAGACAGTCTTTAAGGCTCTACACTTTGGAGCCTACATTTGGGTTTTTACTCTTTTTTAAGAAAACATTTTTCTCGTTATTAAAAATGTTTGTAAAATGTATCCAAATATGCCCTTCTAAATATCTCTTCCTTGCAAAAACATTCCCTAAATTGTTGAAATATCCTCTCTCACTAACAATGTCTGAAATCAATTTTTATTGAATTAACCTTCAGCACATTAGTAATCTTTACTGGATTAATCTTTAACACATCTATAGAACCATTGGTAATCTACTGTGTGCAAAGGACCAGCCATGGCCAAGGGCACTCTCTGAGAGTGCTTCAATCTTCCATACGCTTCATTGATCTACGCATCCCTTTGGATATATATGCATCAGCTACTATTTTTCACGGTTTGAGAGTCTAGACTGGCATTGGCCTTAGTGAGATATGGTAAGAGGTTGGTGCCCAGAAAGTAATGGAAAGAAAGGATGAAACTCAGTTTCTGTGATTATAATTTAACACCCACTGTTGCCAGACCTTGTGCCAGGTTCTAGGGAACCTCTTGATGCCCAAGGTAACTTCTGCCTTCATGGATATTAGTCTTCTATTAGGTAAGCCACATAGAGAAATCCAAGCAAATAGACAGGGAGGATGCAAGATGAGGAAATGCAGAACTACATTTAGAGTAATATTACCATAGATATCAGGGAAAAGAAATAAAATGGGAGGTAAAAGAAAAATAGAACATCTCTTTTTATTCTTCTGTTTAGAGCCTTGGGAGATCAAGGATTTTTATTAAAAAATGTAAGTCCTTACTAAAATGGTCTTTTGAAAAATATTAAAAGTAAAACTGATAGACTAGTGTATGTAGGGATATGTGGTTCTTTTCTTACTCTGGTAGGCCTGAAAGGGCTCCTTCATTTTTTATTTTTTTAATATGTCTTTATTGATTTCAGAGAGAGGAAGGGAGAGGGAGAGAGACAGAAACATCAATGATGAGAGAGTCATTGATCAGCTGCCTCCTGCACGGCCCCCGCTGGGGATTGATTCCGCAACCCAGGCATGCGCCCTGACCGGAAATCGAACTGTGATCTCCTGGATCATAGGTGGATGCTCAACTGCTGAGCCACGCCAGTCGGGCAAGGGCTCTGTAAACCTTGAAAGAAAATAAACTCATTTTCTCCTTTCGAGGGGTACACAGTTTGCAAATAGCAAACTTTGGTTTCCTTACTTGTCAATTTGGTCTAGAGGCTTTGAAACATTTTTGACTGTGACCTGCAGTAAAAAATAAAATGTATTTAACTTCACCACCTAGAAACACACACACACACTATAAGTTGCATTGTCATATTTTATTTAAAAATAGTGATGGTAAAATAAATTTCACAACCCACTAAAGAGTCACAATATGCAGTTTGGAACCTTGTTCTGTACTGTCTTGAGAATTAATGCTTTATTTGGGAAAGTGTGAGTGTGTCTGAGTGTGTGTGCTAACACTTTTGTGTCAGGTACAACTATAAAAAGAAAGAGTGGTACCTTCAGCTCACACTGATCAGAACATTGCAAAGCAAAGTTAATCCAGAGGGTCCACCCCAACCTGGGCCTTCACCAAGATTTAGATTGTCAGAGCCTCTCCTCCCAGACGCCCTATGCAGGACTTGTTGTCCCAGAGTGAAATGGAGAGAAACAAATTAGTCTTTGAAAAAAGACATAAACCTCAGGGAAGAGGAATCAGATCAGACACTGGGTGAGCTCACCATCAGGGCCTCCCCTTAAGGACTTCTTAGGTATTTTCCTTCTAATTTCTGATGAATCCCGTTTCTGTGTTATAACTTTTTACCTTTTCCCCTTCTCAGTAATTCTTTTTAAAGATTTCCCTTCCTTTACCCTTGTGGTGAAGAAATCCATGTATATCTGTATAGCCAGGGGTGGGGATTGAGGGAGAATGAAGGGTTAGGACAATAAAAGGAAAGAGTGGCCTCTTTCAATTCTACTCTTGGTTAATTCCAGGGGCAGAGAGTTACCCACAAGGACCAGCAGGCCAGTGAGTGCATAGTTCAGGGAAGAGCTCAGAATCACAGAGAAGGGTAAATAAATGGACATTTTAGGAAAGATTATAAAACAGAGTTTGTACATTGTGTTAGAGGAATAGCACCTCTGAAAGGGAGGATGACAGCTGAGTTATATGATTGAACATGGGTCTTCCCAAGAAGTATAGGAAATAATAACAAAACAGTAATTCTGTCCAAAGAGAAGTGATAAGAAAACTTGTCCTATTTGGCATGTGAGATGGTCTTGTTGAAACAAAAACAACATCGGAGGAAGTTAAATAAGCACGGAAGACTTTATCCAAGGCTGTTTCAATAGGTGAGAGAGGCCAGAACTGGGTCTGAACTCAACTCTGGTTGAGTTCATGGAAAAGTGATGGAAAAGGTTAGGGGGAAGTCATCCCCCATCTGCATTTGCTAATTGGCTTTATCCAAAGGAAAAGAAACTTCTCATATGGTTATAACAGGAGGTAGTTTTACAGCTTGGAGATAGGTATCCTGGAAAGTTAGGTTCCTGCCCTTCCACAGAGATAACCTGCACTCTCTTCCTGAGTGTTACATTTCAAAGAAATGGCTCCTGGGTTTCTGAGAAAGACCTTTCTGGGTTATAAAACTGGCAAGAAGCTTCTAAAAAGACTTAATATAAAAAGACTTAATATCAAAGGGAAAGAGAAATGATTTACTATTACAAGTTTTCTCAAGTAAGTGCTCTAAGATAAGGGAGGTCGGTGGGGGAGCCCAGAGTCAGGTAGAAGCCTGTCTAAAGTTTAATCAAGCTAAGGGGAATGTTAAGACCATTAAGGCCATCTCAGTCTTTGCAAAGGCCAGGTTAGTAATTTTGTTACCCAAATCCAAGCTCAAGGACAGGGTAGGATGTCAGCCTTGTATCAGGAGTATCATTTACAAATACTTTCTTCCATTTGGTTGGTTGCCTTTTTGTTTTGTTGATAGTTTCTTTTGCTTTGCAGAAGCTTTTTTAGTTTGATGTAGTTCCACTTATTTATTTTTGCTTTTGTTTCCCCTGGCCTTTGAGGTCAAGTTCACAAGAAAACCTTCAAGAGCAATGCTCATAAGTAAGTAGGTAAAGGGGATCAAATATATGGTAACTGAAGGAAATAAGATTTTTGATGGTGAACACTCAGTAGAGCATACAGATGTCTAATTATAATGCTGATATACCTGATAATTATATAATGCTATTAACCAATGTTACCCCAATAAATTTTTTAAAAATAAAAGAACAGAGCAAGAGAATATGGAAGTCTGGTTAATGTTGTTCTGTAGCTTCTATACAATCCCTGAGAATGGAAGGACTTTATCCTATATCTGGGGTGGGATTGATCATTTGTATCGTGTCTATTCTGTGATGGAGAAACAGCTATTGGGACCTAGAAGAAGGCAACTCAAGATTGTGGTTGAGATGGTTTAAAAATGGGCTAGACTGTGAAAGTTCTGTAGTGTTGTTACCCTAGACAGTCAGTCGGAGGGGTGGGCCATGCAGGGGCTGCACAGAAGATGCAGGAACACTGGGATCCAAGGGTTCTCCATGAATTCCAACTGGCTACCCCAGATGTGTGGGCTCCATGTCCAGTGTGGGGAGGTGGCTGAGGGCTGTGGCATCTCCAGGATTCCTGCCAGAGGGTCCTGCTGCCCCCCTCCACACTGACCCTGATACCTTAGACAGGGAGCACCAGGGAGTCTCCCTCATTGGCCACAATGGTGCTGGGGGGAGGTTCCTACACTGAGTTCGCCAAAGGCTAGAAAGATGAATGGATAGGACCTGAGCATACCAAAAGCTAGCAAGATAATTCGATTGAGAAAAAAAGCCCTCTTCTCCCTATCCTTATAAGAACCCCTGGCTTGATGGTAAACTTTTTTTTTTTTTAAATATATTTTTATTGACTTCAGAGAGAGGAAAGGAGAGGGAGAGAGAGAGATAGAACTATCAATGATGAAAGAGTCATTGATTGAGCCCACAAACTGGGCATGTGCCATGACCGGGAATCGAACTCCAATCGCCTTGAGCCTAGGTCGACCGACACTCAACAGCTGAGCCATGCCCAGCAGGGCGAACCCCTGGCTTGAGAAGGAAGGTGAGGTGATCTTTGAGACTGGTCATGGCACCTGAATAAACCTCTTTCCTTTTGCACCAGCACCTTTCTCATGAGTTTGGCTTTCATTCAGTTTGGGAAGTGGAGTTGAGACTTTCCTTTTTTCAGGATTACAGTGGAAACTTAGGTTAAATCTCTTGAAACATTTTGGCATTCCTGAAAGGTGATAAGAATCTGCTATAGACTATGGAATTCGTTTTTTAAAATGTTGGTTTGAGGTGACATTGTAATATAGCAATTAAATTTTTTTGTAACTAGGATCCTGACATCCAGGGACAAAGCCCCAAGTTGTAGCTTTTGGAATGAAGCCATGAACGTAAGAGACCAAAATTTCTCTTAGGGACATGTAATCCCCTAATTTTACTTGTTTCTCTATCTCCATATCTTAGTTCAACTATTCTCAGTATCTTAGTTCAAATGGAGTTTGGGGGAGTTTGGAAAAGCTAAAGATATTTTAGCCTTACTTATTTCTTATGATGCTTTACTTTTTCCTCTGTTGTGCTTCAAGATCAAATAATGTTTATAGACCTGTTATCTTTTTTGTGTAATAAATAGAGCTACATGGTGATAATACACAATTCCTTTCACTGTAGGACATTTTGCTTCACTTTTACCTATACTGGACTTGTGAAATTTATTGTTTGACTTTTCAATGCTGAGGTGGATGAGAAACACAGGGTCACAAGATTCAGAAAACTTAAATATTGGAAATTCCTTCTTAAATTCTGCCTTTCAAGGGTAATTCCTTGTTTGATGATTTTCCCCTTCCGTGATATAATCTCTATTAGGGTAAGAGAGATGCGAGTCCTTTTCACTGCTCTATTTCCAGGGTTCAACACAACTCCTGACAAATCAGATCCCAGAGAGCAGAAGACCTACAGGAATGAACTTAACCAGTGATGACCTGCCCATAAAATCTGTGCCAAAGCTGAAAAAAAATTGTAATTTTTTCTCAGGTGTGAAGTAATTTCACATTATTCTTTTTGAATATTCATGTAATGCCCTGAATCTGGGGCTCTGAGCCAACAAGGCCCATGTCAGTCACTGTGGCAAAGAAAAAGCCAAAATAAATGGCATTTATTGGTTAGTAATCTGGGTCAAGTCCTTTAAATGTTTTCTCAATTAAACCTCAAAAGGGCCCCTTAAGGAAGGTTTGTTTATGCCATCATGCAAATGAAAAAATTCTATCTAGAAAAAAGAAATTACTTTCCAAGTTGACAAGATAATATAACTAGATCTTCTGTTTTTATTCTGTCCAGAATCCTTTCTAAACAATAGGGTGCCTCTATCTCTCTGAACTTGGGGTAGGTGATTCACTTAGGAAGATGACAGGGTATGTTCAAAATGTTCCATGTTAGATTGTAAGCTCAGAACCCACAAATTGGAAGAAAAGCACCTCTTTCATATTCTAGGTGAAACTTTCTGACAGTTTTTGGTAGGCTTGATTTTAGAGATTTATTAAAATAAAATAAGAGATAAATTAACTGAAGTAAATAAAAAATTGTTCATTCCAACACTGTTAATAATAACAAAAATTAGAATCAGCCCAATGAGCAACAATAGAATATTAGTATCATATAATCCATACATGTGATGACACATGACATGAGACATCTAAATTCATGTTTGATATGACTGTATTTAAAGATCAAGAAAATGTCATAGTGCATTTCTTAGTGAAAAAAGCAGAAAACAATGCATATTACAAAAATGTGATTATGACAATAAGAATGTGTATTGTGCTCATGAGTGTGCATATATGGGTATACTTTAAAACTGGAATGATATAATTCAATATATATTTAACACTATAGCTGGGTTTTGAGGCTTTCACATCTTCATATTTCTGTTATTTTTCTGTTCTCTAAAGTTAACATGTATTTCCTTGATATAAGAACAATTGTTCTTGACAGAAAGGAAGATAGAGAAGGAAGTTGATATAACAGGAGGAAACTCAGCTGTTTCTCTGCTGTACAGCTGCAAAGGCTCTGAATTGACATAGGAACAAAGCTGGACCCACTGCCACTGGCGTCCATCACCTCATCCATCACGGTGATCTCTTCTCTTTCTCAGCTGCTTCCACATTTTGCATTCTGGCCCAAGGTACTAATTAGCACTGTGGAACACAATATGCTTTTTCTACTGTGCTCTTTCCTACTGTGGTATGCTTCCTCATGCAGTTGCCTCTTTGGAATGCCCGCCAAAGGCTACTCTGTCTACCCCCCAAGTCTTCTAGGCAGCTCTGTGCTTTCTTCCGCAATACCTCCTGCTGAGGTTTGATGTTGATGGGATCTGAATTTGGGGCCTCCCAGGGTCTGCTCAGCCAGACACACAATGCCTCAGTGCCTTCCCCCCACGCAGCTACTATATCCCCTCCTGAGGCCCTAACATGTCCTCCTTAAATGAGAGTCACCAGCCACAAAAGCATGTCATATCTCTCTTCCTTTCCTCTCCTTTCTAAGGTAGGTCAACTGGACCATATGTGGTAGAGGGAATGGGCATCTAGCGTTGTGCGTTAGTATAGTTAGATCTCCAATGGCTGCTGCTCTGTTCCTACAGGAATTCAGGGAAGATGTCAGGATGAGATGGGGGTATGCCTTACAAAACATGGTATCCTAGTTGTCTCTGGAGCAAGCAGAGTAGGCAGCTCTGAACATGGTGCCAGGGACTTCCAGCCATTCTGGGAGTGGAGTATTGAGGAGACCTTTTATGTTTCTCCACAGCCTAGCAGCAAAGAGTTTATGTAAATTTCCTATTGACATATGCTACAAAGCAGAGATGAAGGCCTGAAGGGCATAGGGAGGGCCAGGTCACTTTTGCAGGATTAGGAATACAGGGAGAGTTCAATGTGGTCCTTGACCAAGCTCTGGAACTATATGCATCATTCTCCAGGGTTGGAAAGGCTGCTGTAGGGAAGGCAATCCCACCAGAGGATTTCCTCATTGACTTCTCCCACTCTTTGTCTGGATGAAAATAGCTTTGGGGACCCCATGAGATGGCACAAAATGGTTTCTCTCCCTGTGGACTCTCCAAGAATGCTCTGAGAGTCTACATTCCCAGTTAGAAGATTTTCAGCATAGCCAAGTATGCCTGGAATATTAGAAATCTTTGTCTTAACCCAGAAAAAGTCTCTGCTTCATGAACAAATACAGACTTATTTCCTTTGTTGAGAAGCTCTTGCTGTCTAGAAGTTTCTATTGGCCACATTGCTTTCAATGTAGCTTCTTAAAGAAAAAAAAAATTGGGGTGAGCCTTGAGGTAAGGAGTTGCCTTTTCAAGACATCTAAAATACCTCCATACTAAATTATTTAATTTTGTCCGAAGAGTAACCTCTTATTTACTTCTACCTTCTGAATAGTCACGGGTCTGCCACTGAGGTCTATACTTTTATTTATGACTAGACAAGTTTTAAGTTTTCCTGATCATATGTTTTTGAGGAAGGGTGGAATTAGGCATTCCAAGTGTGGTATGTAGAATTTACAATGGGTAAACTAGAGATGGATATTTGCCTCAAAGGTGGTCTTAATATGCTGATTATCTCTGCTTTGGTGATTATACAGAGGGCAACGTCCTGAGACAGTATCTCAGAGCATCATTTTAAGAACACACCAGGAGGAAAATGGCCAAATCTTTCCCAATACTCCACTCAATGTTGTTCTTCATGCTGATCCATTGGGTGTTTCCAGCTGGTGAGTAATTTGGGTGGTTCTGGCAGGACTTGCGGGTTCTAACATACATTGTGATCTGAAATAGAATGCTTTGAAATTCTCATTCACTTATTTATTTACTGTAGCTATATATCTGTATCTATATAGAGAGAAATAATGGAGTTCAGTCCAAAAAAAAATAAATAAAAGGCCCTGGGCCATTGGGCAGGGGCCTTGGTTTTTCCATCTATTAATGCAGATTATGAGATCTAATTCATGGGGACCGGAGGTCTTGGGTAATTCAGTGAGGTGACATGTGAAAGTGACTGGCAACATGCCTACGCCATAGTGCATCTCAGAAATTCAAAACTTTTGAAGATGCTTTGCCATATATTTGAGTGGGTCATTACCTTTTGTGCCCTCTTTTAGAGATGAGTCATGTAGAGGGTTACAATGTCACCTAGTCTCAAAAGGTGAAGAGCTTGATTTCTCACATATCTGTCATGAATTCCTGGGCATTTCATAAGCAAGGGTCTTTCTCTTCTCTGTGAAATAGGGCGATTGGGCTTAAAGGTCTCTTTAAAATTCTAGCATTTCTTAATTTCTTTCATACATGGGCTACCAGTTCTGAATCTGCCCAAGCCCAGGATAATTCCTGTTCCTCAAAAAGCAATTTGATGTACTAGATTGGCAATGTTTATGAGAGCAGTGATGCATCTGCATAGTCCTCTACTGATTATCAACCAGAAGAAGAAGGGTTGTTCTGCATTTTGGAAAGAAAAGAAAAAAAAAGTGAACACATGGAAAAATAAAACAATGTTTTAAAAGATTGTAAACTTCTTTGGTAATAATTAAAAATTATTTTATTCCAGATTAAGAATTCTTAATAAACCCAAAGGTTAAGCTATGGTTTACCAAATATTAGATTCTGTAACTATTTTCAGTTATGTCTTGGTTTCAGGCCCTCAACGCTGGTGGCCAGCAAGAGGAGGTTTCAAGGTAACCTTCCACTAGATTTGCCAGGACTGAGGTTCTAATTTGAGTTTTCTTTGGAATTGCTATTTTGGAGCCTTACTGCAGCAAGGTCATCTGTAGAATTATTTGAGGACAAGTCATATGAATGTGATAAGGACACTGCAGGTGTAGAACCCAGAGTAGTGTTCCAAACTGGGAACCAAGCTGAGATTTGGTTGTATGTCCACCAGAGAAACCCCCATGGTACCTGGGAAGTGTTTATGAGCACCCATGATTGCCAGGGGCAAGGCAGGGTCTTAAGAGCCCACAGACTTGAGCATAACACAGTTTTTGCTCTCAAGGAGATGACAGTTTGGGGGCGGGAATGCTCCCAAATGCTGAGACGTGCAGAGAATGCCTATGTGAATTGTGACTAGGGAACATCAGAGATGTGGACTGAGGAAAATGTGAAGAAATAAGAAATCCCTGAACAGAGTCTCAAATTGTGTTTGCAACTGGGACACGAGCAAAATGAAGGGGATACCCTTTCCATTTTAACCTACCCCTCTGAAGATTAAATATATTTTGAAGCCAGTAAGTGTTTGATAAGTGAGGGAAAAAGGATTATGAGAGATTACCTTTTTTTGTATGTAAATTTACATCACTGTACCCCTTCACTTTAGGAGTTTTTGCACTCTTTTTGGGTCTCATTTGTAAACTTTAAGTTACAAATTAAACAACAATTATGAGTTGACTGGTGAGAAAGGCCTTTCAAGGGGAGCATGACCTTCAAGGGACTCATAGTTCAGAGTGTAGAACATGATAAAGGCTGTAGCTCCAGCAAAAGACTGAAGAACATGTCCAGGATCTAACCTCTGGTCTCATAGAGTTCAGTCCTAGCATTTTCCTCTTCAGAGCTGCCTGCAGGGGGAGTTCTCCCCTTTCTGATCAACCCATAGATAATCAATTTCTCATTCTTACTTGTTTTCTTTAAAGAATATTTACTTATCTTCTGTGCTATGCCTTAGGATCCAATACTGAGGAAAACGGACATAGTCTCTTCTTTAGTGAAGATAACAAGTAGCCAGAAAAAAGAAAGAGACAATTATTATTTGTAGTAAATTCCATACATAAGAGAAGTAGGAGGTTATGGTAGAGAATATTTATTAGGAGTAGAGATACTACTATAAGCAATGTCATCCAAGATGGCCTCTCTGGCATGGGGACAGCTAAGCTGAAACCTTAAGGGTAAAAAGGAGCCTCCCGGGTAAAAAGTGTTGAGGAAGTATTTGCCTACTTGAGTCACTGATTGAACACCTGGATGACTGGGGCACAGAGAGGGAGGGGTGTGCAGTGGATGCTACACTTACAGCAGTAGATGGAACCCTCCCCTGATGAACACCTCTCATTCAAAACAGAAAAAAAGAAGAACCTGGATTTGTAGACAATGATACTAGCTATTCTTGGTTTTTTACTTGATTACCCTATATTTATTCTGTTTAAACTATTTTATATCTCATTCAGGTTGCAAATATTTATGCAATGACTAAGTGGCAATATATGTGCTGGGCACACAATGGTAGTCTAATCAGACATAGACCTTACCCTTATGGACTGAGAATTTTTGGGGGGTGTGGAATTGGTCCAGTAATTGCACAAATGCTTTATGACACACTGATTAGAGGTATAAAAAGAAAGAATGAAGAGTTGGGATTTATTTTGAGAACTATCGCTGAGACAGTAGGTTATAATAACCTGAGCTCTGAAGGTAGAATGAGTTTAGGTTCAGGGAAACAAATATGTTTGATGGCAGTGGTCATGACAAACCAGAAGATGCTGAGATGGAGAGAACATGGAGTATTTGGTGGAAAAAACTGAAAAGGCAAAGAGCCAGGTGGTATAAAGCGAGGTTGGAAGAGTTGGGAGGGTTCAAATCACATGGGGTCTTCTATCCCATACTAAGAACAAATTTTTTATGTGAAACAAGGTATAATTAAAGAGTCTTAATCAGCAGAATAAAATGATTAAATTGATGTTTAAGTTATGGAAACTAGAGGACATGGGGAATAGAGGAAGTGGAGGGATTAGTTGGATGAGAGATATGAGGTAGATGATGGTGGCCTGGCCATGGTGGTGGTGTTGGATAGATAAGGAAAGAATGAAGGAGAGCTGAAATATTATTTTTCTATTTCTAAACACTAACCCAAAACTCTCTTCCATCTGTATCAGACGTTCTTTATTGTATGTATCTATCTTAGAGCCCCTGAGACCACCAACCTCAAGCCATCACCCCAGAGTCACTTCTTCAAGCCATCACTGACACCAGCCTTGCAAGTAGACATGGGTTCTAATCCTTGATGACCCATGTCCATTCCCTTGTTTTCCATTTTCCTTACAAAATCAGGGAGTTATTCTAAATGATCCCACATTTCACAACTTTAAGATAAGAGTTGGATTGGGGATTTTTGACAGTGGATAAAAATGTGATAAATATTTTAAATCAAGGCATATGGATTTCAGTGAAGCATCTTTTCCAATTATGGGGCTTTAGTTTCCTTATCTGAGTTGGCATAAAAAAAATCTCTAAGAATATTTCCAGATCAAATAGTCTGGGAACAAAGGAGATTGAGAGAGAAGCTAAATTTCCCTGATAAATTCTATATTTTCACTCTTCTTTTCCAACTCTAGCATAATAAACCTCTGTTCTCTATTGCTGTCAGGAGGCATCATGCTGCTATCAGATGGGATATATGTAGGTTCTGGTTTCATTGCTTTGTGGAGGTGGGAGCTGTGAGAGCTTTTGGAAGACTGGAATATGATCTTGGCTATGTTTAGATTTTCCTTAAAAAAATTCAGAGGGGAACTTGTTACCTATCTGTAAGCATGATTCTAATTGTATCATTCTGTTCAACTCAATTGCAGGTGAAATGTCCAGTTAAGAAAGTAGACTTGAGCTGGTTTAAAGGAACACTCAACCCCTGCAGTGGTATATATGAACCAATCTGTGGGACCAATTTGGTAACCTATGAAAACCCCTGCATCTTGTGTATTGAGAACTTGTGAGTACTATTTGGGGCAGGGGGACAGAAAAATGAAAAAGCTTAGCCCATAGCAATTATCATCTACCTCTTCTATGAAGTACATCAGCCTTGATGCCAGGAATTTGCTCCAGTTTGCAGAGATAATGATCAGTCCCCACTGAGAAGAGCTTGTGGTCACATAAAGTCCACTGGAGTACAAAGCAGACTCATTGTGCTCAGTGGTGCTCCTCAGGTCCTTTCTTCTCTCTGAGCCCTTGCATTCCCCTATGCCAATTGATGGATTTTCACTTGACGCTTTAAATACTAGAGTTCTGAAATTCTTTGATTTTTAAGACAAATTGTGGTTTTACCTGATCTCAGATATCTTTAACTTCTGTGTCTGAATGTGTTTGAAACTCTGAACTAGGATGAGGTGATAGCGAAATTTGGGTCCTTTAGCTAAGAGTGAGTGTTTAGTTTTCTTGGATTTCTGTGACATGATTCTCAGTGATTAGATACAGAGATCTCACAAAACCATGGCTTCAGATTTGATCTCTGTAGAAGCCAGTACAATTCACAGGGAGAAAAATTATCCCCATGGCATCAAACTGGAGCCCTCCACTCAACAATTATTTTGTAATTTTGTGGATGGAGCAATGACATGAGTGTATAAACCCCAGGTCCTCCTTGCTAATAAGCAATTCCATCCAAGTGTAAGAGTATTGACAGAGAAGATGAGGATTAATGTGCCTCATATATCACAAGCTGAGAATTGATTCAATAACCTACCTTCAAAGAGACTGTAATAGGTCATAGTATCTTCAGGGAGATCTTAGGACTGTGACAGGTTAATGGGGTAGGAAAACCAATAAGCTATTTTTTGGTTTTTGTCCACCTCCCTTTTTGCTCTGGCTCTTAGTTTCCTCAAATATAAAATAAGAGTGATAGATAAGATAATTTTAAAGTATATTTGTGGGGAATTCCAAGATGGTAGCTGATTAAGTGGAAGCTACACTGACACTCTCCTAGGGCCAAACTGGAATTATGACTAAAATATAAAAAACCATCCTGAATAATCAACCGAAGAATAGCTGAAGAGAACCCTTATAACCAAGGATGTAAAGTGAAGACCACATAGAGACTGGTAGGAAGTACAGAGGCGCAAGAGACCTGGCTGGGCTCCCACTGGCAGCAGCTAAAATTCTGGAAGGATATCTCAGCTGTGGGGTGGTTCCCACTGAGAACTCCAGGGTCTAAACCCCAATCTGGGCTCCTCAGCCTAGAGCACCAGAGCTGAGAAAGATGCCCACCCATTGAAAACTTATCACCCCACTCTGTGGAGTTTCTACAGCCTGAGGCTCATTAAAAGACTGTGAATAACAATCAGCCTCTGGGTGCTTTAAGTCTTTGCCTGATTTGCTTCTGTACCTACAGCTTGGGAAAGCAGACCTTGGTGCACATCTTGGTCCTTTTCAAATGCACACAGCCACAGCAGAGGGAGCCATAAGAAGCTGTGGATTGCGGAGAGCTTCAAACAGGGTTTACTCAAGGCCAGTCACAAACTGCATATGACATTGGCCTATACCAGAAACCATCCAAAAGATTGGAAGTCCTAGCTGAACTACCTAATACATAGAAACAAACCCAAACAGGCAGCCAAAATGGGGAGACAAAAAAACACAAAAAACCCACACACAAAAAAAACAAGCCCCAAATGAAAGAACAAGAGATAAATGAAATGGAGATAAGCAATCTATCAGATATAGAGTTCAGAATACTGATCCTAAGGATGCTCAACAGCATGAGAAAAGATATGAAAACTATAAAGGAAATTAAGAATGACATAGTAGAAATAAAAAATACATTGGAAGGGATAAACACCAGATTAGAGGAAGCTGAGGATCGGATCAGCGAATTAGAAGACAGAGTAGAAAAAAATCATTCAATCAGAGAACCAAAAAGAAAAAAACAATTGCCCGGCTGGGTGTGGCTCAGCGGTTGAGCGTCGACCTAGGATCCAGGTGACCTTGGATGTGGTGATGGCTTTTTAGATACAAAAGGCTTGGCTCATGGAAGAAATAATTGGTAAACTGGAATTCATTAAAATTTAAAACTTCTTTTTTGTGAAAGACATTATCAAGAGAATGCGAGCCTGGCCGGGCGTGGCTCAGCAGTTGAGCATCGACCTAGGACCCAGGCCATCGGGGTTTGATTCCCTGGTCGGGGCATATGCCCGTGTTGTGGGCTTGATCCCTAGTTGGAGGAATGCAGGAGGCAGCCAATAAATGACTCTCATTATTGATGTTTCTATCTCTCTCTCTCCCTCTCCTTTCCTCTCTGTGAAATCAATAAAGATATATTTAAAAAAGAAAAGAAAAAAAAAATTAAAAAACAGGACAGTTTAAGGGAGCTGTGGAAGAACATGAAACATAACAATATTCATATCATAGGAGTACCAGAAAATGAAGAAAGTAAGCAAGGGTTAGAGAACCTGTTTGAAGAAATAATGGCAGGAAATTTCCCTAACCTGGTGAAGGAAAAAGTTACACAAGTTCAGGAGGCACAGTGTTCCAAACAAGAAGAATCCAAAGAGGCCCACACCCAGACACATAAGTAAAATGCCAAAAATTCAAGACAGAGAGAGAATCTTAAAGGCAGCAAGAGAAAAGTAAGCTGTTACCTACAAAGGATCTCCCATAAGGCTGTCAGCTGATTTCTCACCAGAGACTCTATAGGCCAGAAGGGAATGGCATGAAGTATTCAAGGTAATGAAAAGCAAGGATCTGAAACCAAGACTAGTCTATCCAGCAAGGCCAGCATTCAAAATAGATTGTGAAATAAAGACCTTCCCAGACCAAAAAAAAAAAAAAAAGTGGCTAAAAGAGTTTATCATCACCAAACCAGAATTGCAAGAAATGTTAAAGGGACTGCTGTAATAAGAGAGAGAAACATAGGCATAAAGAATTAAAAGGGCAATAGATAAGTACCTATCAATAATAGCCTTCAATGTAAATAGAATAATGTTCCAATCAAGACATGGGGTAGCTGAATGGATAAGAAAACATAACCCAAATATATATGCTGTCTACAAGAGACCCACCTCAGAACAAAAGACTCAGGCTGAAAAAAAAAATTCTGGAGTACTTTAAAGGAGAGATCAAAAGCAACACAGTCATAGTAGGGGACTTTAACACTGCACTGACTTCACTGGATTGATCTTCTAGACACAAAATCAACAAGGAAACAGTGACTTTAAATGACACACTTGATCAGATGTATTTAAATGACATTTACAGACCATTTCACCCCAAAACTGCAGAATATACAATCTTCTCCCATACACATGAGACATTCTCAAATATAGACCACATGTAAGGACGCAAAACAAGTCTCCACAAGTTCAAAAAGATTGAGCNGGGCTTACCAGAGTCCTTGCATGTGGCAGGGGGATGGAACCACTAAAGTGCTTTTAGCAAATGAGTCCAAATAAATGGTTATAATTGTTTCTTTTGCTTCTATGATTTTAACAAAATAGTAATGTTTATAGTTCTGGAAAATAAGTAGACCGAAGAGCTAATTATCCTGCTGTGTGAAGCTGCTTTCAATGTTTCTGGGGACTAAGTCACGCTTTTCTCCCCAGCACTTCATTTCTGCTTTTATTTACATGATCCTCAAACTTAGGAACTCAGTGGTACCTTCTGAACCTTGTGGAACCCCAACTTAGGAGAATCATTCTTTAGAGTATGTAAACTTGTTGATGCCTCAGGAAGACCGAGTTTCACAAGAGCCTAGAGATTATTTAGTGCCCCACCCTCACCCCCATCCCTACCCCTTGGAGGAATTCACATCTGGACAGTCCCTGGGTGTCCTATCCCCCCCACAAGACACTTGTGGTTTGCTCTCCTTAGAGTAGACATTGAGTGTCCAATGAGGTGAAGAAAAATCAAGAGGCCATTTCTTAGTTTGTGGGAAGAGATAAAACCTGTCTGTGGGGATTTCCATCAAAATAAGCAATTGACTGATGAATCTCAGAGGGAAGATGGGTGTGGGTGGGTGGGTAGGGAGAGATTAACCTAAGAATTTATATGCTTATATGCATAACCTATGGACAGAGATAATAACATCCAGAGATGATGAAGGCTGGAGGTGGGGGGTGTTGCAAGTGGAGGCGATCAAGAGGGGGGGAAAAGGGACATCTGTAATACTTTCAACAATAAAGATAAATATGTTTATAGCTCTGACATTCTATTATTTAATGAAATATTTATTCTTACTCTTTCTTTAGGAAATCTTCTGGGAAAATTACTTATCTCCGTGATGGACCGTGCTAGCTAAGCAGACTTGGATGTGAAAGAAGGTATCTTCTTTTTCTCCATCACAACAGTCCTCCTCTTACAACTCACCTGTCCTTTTTTTCTCCTTGCACTTGCCCTTGGTGACAGAGTTGCCCCTATTGAGCCTGTATTAGAGAGTTAAAGCTTCCTTCTCTAGAACTCTTCCCTCATTGCCTTCCATATTCTTCCTAATAAAAATCTGATGGCACTTGGGTTTTATATCTGCGTCTCAAGTCTCAGAAGTAGAACAAATTAAACATTTGAGCCAAGGGTCCGAGACAAGCATTGGGATTCCCCAGCTCTCTGATACTGTGAACAGTGGGATGATCTATGTAAAGGCTCTAGGTATCTTCCGAGAAACATGACAGAAACATCGTCTATATTCCTTTGGCATTTAAAAACAAACAAACCAACAATAGGAACCATGGAGCACTACGCAATTTCTGGCCATACCTCTTGCCCTCTTTCTGTAACTTCCTCATTGAACAACCTCACTTTTAGACTCAGCCTTGAAACAGAGCCATTTACAGATGTCTGGCTTAGATCAACAGAGCCCAACACTTTCACTGGTTCCCCTTTGCTCCATAGAAGGAGGCCTGTGTCAATGGTATCCATGAATGTCCCATTGGTCATTGGTCTTTTTCTTAAATTCTTTTGAGAGTATTTAACCTCTGAAACATAAGGACATGTTCTCCTTTTGATTATATGTGTGCATGTGTGTGAATTTGGACTACTAATATATACTAATATGCTCTCTTCTCTGCAGCTTGCTCCCTGCTGGCTTGGGAAAGAGCCTATTCTGCCTCTGAATATACTGTAAGACTATTGTCAGAATGTTTATATGTTCTGTTAGTTCTTGGACCTTCATTAGCATGCTGATAACATGGTAGACACATGTTTCTAGTAAAAATTAAAGAGTCACCTTTAGTCTGTAATCTTTAAATTTGAAAAGCAAATATCTCTCGGGAAAATTAAATATTTCCTCGCGTTACAGTGTGCCCTTGCTCCAAGTCCTGGGCCAATCAGGAACACCAGCAATCCAGGGAAGACTGTTGTCCAACATGATTGCTTGGACTTCCCGGTCACAAATTCTTTCTTCTGCAATAATTTCCATTAATATCATTCAGTAGGTTTTTTTCATTTCAAACATTTTCATTTCATCTTTACAAATTTGATTTATATCTTCCATATTTCTAGCATTTTTAAAAAGTTACTATACCTGAAATATAGTTATAATAATTATTTTTATGACCTTATCCTCTAATTCTAATATCTATCAGTTCTGGGTTGGTTTGGGTTGTTTTATTTTCTTTTCATTATGGATTATATCTTAGGGTACCAGACAGTATGAATTTTATCTTGTTTGGTTCTGAATATTTTTATACATCCAGAAATTCTTGAGCTTTGTTCTGATCCTCTTTGCTATTAAGAGTTGTTAGGTCTGCCCTGGCTAGTGCTGTTCCATGGTTAGAGTGCCGGAGCACCAAAAGGGTCTCAAGTTCAAGTCCTGGTCAAGGGCATGTACCTGGGTTGTCGGTTTGATCCCAAGCCCAGTCGGGGTGGGGGTGGGTTGTGTGAGACAACCAATCAATGTGTTTCTTTCACATTCACATCTCTCTCTCTCTCTCTCTACCTCCCTCCCCACTTCCACTCTCTCTAAAAATCAATGGAAAAAAATAATCTCTGGTGAGATTATAACAAAAGCAAACAAACGAAAAGAGTTGTTAGGTCAGAGCAGTGCAGCATTCACTAAGTGGGCTAGCTGCGCCTCATTACTGAGGCAACACCCTTTGAGTCCTCTCCTGTGGTTCTTTCTTGGCCTTGGGTAATTTCCTCATGCACAAGCACTAATTAGTAAATCCCTGAGCTTTCTGTCCAGCTCTCTAGTGCTGTGGTCCTATGAACTATAGCAGCTTTGATCTCTCTCCTCTGAGCTCTGTATCTTCAATTCAGGGAATCCACTTGCTCCATCTGAGTCCCCCCTTTCCCATTTCTAAAACCTCTTACAATACAGAAACCAAGGGCAATCATGATCTCATCACATGTATTCCCATCTCTCAGGGATCCCTTTCTTTCATTGCCTGGTGTCTAGTGTCATACTTTCATATATTTTATCTGATTTTTTTTTTTTTTTGGTCTTTTCCAGTAGGAGGTATATCTGGTTTCTCATACTCCGTATACACACAAGAGTAAATTAATCTTATCTTAATTTCAATTCAAATTGATATTCAAACCAATTCAAAAAATCTTTCGGAAGGAAATATATCTTCCTAAACTTAGAGTATGCAAAGATTGCTTTAAAAAAGCAAATATTGGGAAAAAAAGCACTGAGCATAAATAAAAATGTGGTCAACTGTGCAATACAAAAATTGAGAACTTCAGTTCATCAAAATACATCATTAGTAGAGTAAAAGGTAAGCCGCCAGCTAGGAGAAAACGTTTCCAATACATACATCCAACAAGTGGCTCCTGTCAGAAAGAGATGGAGAACTCCCTCAGGCAAATAAGAACACAAACAGCGTCATAGGCTAGTGTACAAAATGCAGAAAGACGATACCAGGTAGCTACTAAGCATACGCATCACCCTCATTTTCCTCTGCATTTCAGTTGTTCTGAAATCATCTGGTTTTTAAATCTTATGCTATAATTAATCTTTTTCTCACACTCAGGTGAAGTGCTGAAGGCATATAATTTGGCCCCTTGAATTATATTCCCTTTTGGACCATGTTTTCCATGTTTCTTTTGTATGACATGTTCTCTTAAATTTTTCTGTGGCTCTGTTATGATTATAGACTGGCTTACCTTTCTGTTTGCCATTTTAATTTCAAATTTAAAGTGTGCAGCTCTATCTATGTCTCTCTTTGATCTAAAATGGAGTGAAAGCCCGGCCGGGCGTGGCTCAGCGGTTGAGCATCGACCTAGGATCCAGGCAATCGGGGTTCGATTCCCGGTCAGGGCACATGCCTGGGTTGAGGGCTCGATCAATGACTCTGTCATCATTGATGTTTCTACCTCTCTCTCTCCTTTCCTCTCTCTGAAATCAGTAAAGATATATTAAAAAAAAAAAAAAAGAATAAAATGGAGTGAATGAATTTCTCTGAAGTATCTTTATACTATCATATGTAAATTTGTCTTTTCATTTGAACTATAAATTAAGGGCTTATTTTGTTTTTCTATCCCTTTTGCTGTGGTGTGAAGCATTAGGATTAAGTAGGGAGAGCTCAGCCAGAAAGAACATAGTCTTTGCAAGAAGAATTAGGATCGTGCTGCTTTCTCACCTTTTTAAAAATCAACATGAATGGCAATATATTTTATGTACAGTATCCCCCCCTTATCTGCAGGAGATTCATTCCAAGACCCCCAGTAGATGCTCAAAATCACGGATTGTACCAGACCCTATATATGTGCATACACACTTGTTCACTTAAAGGAAGCACTTTATGCTTCTTTGGCATATCCCAATTGCCAGCATCACTGCTTTCGAGATTTGGGGCCATTATAAAGTAAAATAAGGGTTATTTGAACACAGGTCCTATGATATCGTGATAGTGCATCTGATAACCGAGAGGGCTACTAAGTGACTAATGGGCTGGGAGTGTATACAGTGTGGATATGTTGGACAAAGGGATGATTCACATCCCAAGTAAGAAATGCAATATTTATTCATGCTTCTCAAAATGGTATACAAGAAAGAAAGAGAAAGAGAGAGTGAAGGGGAAGGAAGGAGGAAGAGAGGGAGGAAAAGAGGGAGGGAAGGAGGGAGGGACCCTGTCAAGGGCCACAGAGACACAGTGTGATCCATGTGGCTTCAAGGTGGAGAATTAGGATAACTGAGATGCATCAGGGAGAGGGTCTCACCTAAAATTGGGAAGCATTGTCTAATTGTGGAGCCCAACAATGGAATCGGCTTTCTTGAAAACAAGTCAAGTCTCTGTCCTAACAATGTTCAAACAAGGTTTTAATGACTGCTCAGTGGAGGTTGCAGGGAGATTTTAGCCTGGTGCAAGCTCTACGTGCTATCTAAAATCTTTCACCCTTAGAAATTGTATTTATCCTCTCTAAGCTGACAGCTGTGCCACTGGAAGCACAGTTTAGGGCCGCAGGCAGAGCGCAGCAGTTTGCTGGGCGCCCTGAAGAGGGCAGGTTCTTTCCGGGTCCTGGTTCTCCCAGCAGCTCGCAATGGGTGAGCTCCCGGAGCTGCTGGGTGGGAGGATTCCCCAGAGTTTGTTGCCAAGTGAGGGTTGATGTCGTACTTTGGGTAATATCCAGGGGAAGCAGAAACGCATGAATCACAGGCCAGTTCCCAGAAAAGCAAAAGTATAGGGCAGAAGCTTGACCTGGGAAACGAAACGGCGGTTACAGTCCTTCTGTTTATAGCTGTGGGACAGAAGGAAGGAGCTGGTGGGGAGCCACTTTCTCATGGAAGTTTTTTCCCTGCTTCCAAACTAAATCTAACCTGCCTGTTATACTTTTCATAATGCTAACTACCTGTCTTTCAGAGAATTATCTGCAGGAGATAATTAATTCCCTTTCTCGTAGATCAGGAGCTTCAGGAGAGCAGAGCCATGGCATGCCATTGCTTATCTCACTCTCTATGCCTATGCTGACATTAGGCTGGCACGAGGTAGGTGCTGGATCAGCAATGAATAAAGGGAAAGAATTAGCTCCCTCTGGTCTAACACGCCACTGAAGTCATAAAGGTCAATGTGAAGTTTGGCTCTAAACATTTTCCATCATATTTGGGAAACGAATATATGGTAGAACGCTTTCAGGTGGTCTTTGTCTCCATCTCCTCTTGTCATGACGGCTATTGCAAAACAAAAGTCGGAGGAGAGGGCTTCCTCACATTATAGTGATCTCTTTTGGTCCTTTGATATTTCAAATATGTAACATAAAATTTCAACTTTGTAATTTGACGATTTCGGCTTGCCTGCAACCTGCTTATGAGTAGAGCTGGCCATTACCAGCAGGATTCAGGAAATGACATAATAAGAAAT